GTATTATAATAACTATATAATTATAATAATATTTATTATTTTATAATTATAATACTGTGTTATTATGTGAACGTACAAAGAAACATTTAGATCACAGTTATCTAATACTAAAGCCTATTAATTAAGCATTTTAAAAACTGGAGGCCGATTAAGTTAACATTTTTTTGGGACTTGTTTATTAAACTAGTTTAACAAATTATTTACTCACTTAATAAAAATACTGAAGGCAAAACTATTTTATATTTATTAAACAGGAAGTTATATAAATGGTGTGAATAAAAAATTCTTTATTTAAAAAAATTTCAAACATATAAAAACAATGATTTTTTAATCCAATTAATCTGGTGGTTTAATGACAGAATGCAACCTTTTACGATCACCTTTTACAGCATCCGGAATCATGCAAACATTAAAATTATGTCCACCAAAAGGATATTTAATCATAACAGCTATTTTTTTTTGTTGCTAATTTGTCTGGTTAATTAACAAATTTCCCAAAAAAGTTTTCTGTGAACATTATTAATTTTTGCCTCAATAACCTAACTCAATAACCTAATAAACTTTGCCTCTAACTTTGCCTTAAACTTGCTTAAACTTTGCCTAACCTAACTCAATAACCTAATAAACTTCTATAACCTCAATAAACTTTTTTAGACATAAAACAGTTTTTTATTAACATTGATTTAATTTTAGGATGTCTAATCTAATTATTTCTTATATTTTTTCATATATAGATATAATTAAGTAAAAAAAATGTTATTTTTGGTGAACCATGTTTTTTTAACAACAGTTTTGAAATATGAGCAAAACTTTACATTACTTTATTATTGTCGCATAGAATTGTAACATAGCTTTCATTTGCATTTGAAATTTTAAGTATTGAGTTACATACTAACTACATTATTTTAATGCAAGTTTCCGTGGCTGTAATTCTTTAACATTGAACAGGTTTTGCATTTTTTGTACTGGAACTTGATGCAGCTGTAACCATTTATTTTGGTGGTACATTTAATACAAGGCTGGACTTTACACAACAAAATATAGATGAAGGAGAAGATACTATAAACATTTATTTTTTTGAAACTTAACGGTCAATGTTCAAAACAAACAACAGTATGTTTGCTATCAGGAATGTTACTTTTTGGAATAGCATGTAGCCACTTTCTGCATTCTTCTGAATCTTTTGAAAATCTGTAAATAACACTTTTTTGTAGGTTAAACAATTTGTCGAATAATTGGTAACACAACACTGAAAGCAATCAGTTTTGTCTCAGGAAATAATTTATATTTTTCAACACTAAGTAAATCTACACAAATTACACAAACAATATTTTTCAAAGTCTTCTAAATTAATTGTCTTCCAGTTTTTCTTACCGCCATGTGTAGGATATTATCATGCTGCGTTTTTTTAAAGCATAAGCTATTTTTCCATCACAAAGACTAGGAATTTAGACAGTCACTCTCCAGGTATAAACAGATGAAATTTTCTCAGGAGAATTTTTATTATGGTTTTTACCATATATATATATATATATATATATATATATATTTTTTTTTTTTTTTTTTTTTTTTTTAGTTGTATAACAAATTGTGCAGAAAAGTTAAACATAAGAGATCATGTTATTTATTATTTTTCTTGTTTGAACTGCGATGAATCCCAGTAAGTTTTATTTTACTTCAAGCGTTTTTTAGGCTATATTTTTTATATTAAAAAATAAAATATTTAATAAATTAAAATAATAAACTAAGTAGTTTATTTTATTTAATTTTTTGTAAAGATTTTATTATATAATAAATTATATATAAAATTTTTTTTTTTGTTGAAACTTTTTTTATTAACTATTTTGTAGGATTGTTAATAAAGATTAATTTGTTTTTTATAAAAATATAAACAAAAATTCCGTGCAGATAAAAATGTTTGAATGTATTACAAATGATGTGTATAAATTTTTTAATGATTTTATATTTCAATTAATAAATATTCATTTAAGCATTCTGCTCTAGGTTAGCTTTCGATGCAGCTTTTTTTATTTGATTTCCATTTCAAGGGGATGGCTATTCTTCTGATTCTTGTTATGCCATAAAAACATTTAAAGTAATTGTCAACTGTAATCAAACATCACTACTCTCTGCCTCTTTTCTTTATTTAAGGAAGTAAAAATCTGTTTTAATTTTATTCATAGTTTGTATTTTTTCTATCTTTACAAAAAAACATCTTCACACCGTTGCATCATTTGTTTATCTTTCTACTTAACTTGTGTATGCATCACTTATATTCTTTTACAGAAAACAGTTTATATTTAACAAACTGTGCAGAAAATGTTTGTTTTATAAGACAGTTCTTTATAATATCTGAGGCCTGAAAATAACTATTTGACTTAAAGGTTGATGGTTAAAAAACTGAAACAGAGGATGACATGCTGGCGTGTGTGCACCTACTGAATGTTTGGATTTATTTCCTTTCTTTTTAATTGTAATAGTATACAAGGGAATCAATTAAAAGTTGACAAATAACACTCTTTTTTTTTTTTCTTTTTTTAATAACCCTGGGTTAACAACTAAGGTTTTATTAAAGATCTCATATTACTTCTAACTTAAACCAGGAAAGTTGTCAAGTATAAATTGTCAACTAATTATAAAATAAAAAAAGGTTTTTATTTTGTAATTACTTGACAATTTTTATTTTCATTTAACTATTAAATCTGTCAGCTGATTTTTAAATTAAGTTGATTTAAGTTAATTTTACCTTTTTTACTTGGTTGATACATAATTTATAAATATTGGTGATACATAATTTATTATTATTGTTTTAGGTTATTATTTAATTTAATTACCAACTGATTTTAATTAAAACAGATTATCTTAAATCTGTCTTACTGTTTTTATGAACAATTTATTTTATATATGAAAACTATTATTACAATTACAGTATGTAATAATAATTTGACAATGTATAAAAAGTAGATGTTGCGAAAATTGTACCATTTTTTATTTTATACCTAGACACATACTAGGGGGTGTTTAAGCACGTTAAAAAACCTTTTAATCGATTAATTAAAATCTTTTTTTAATTTTAATAAAAAACGTGTTATTTTTAAAGAGTATTTAATTTTTATTGTAAAAAACTATAAAACAACAATAAAAAAAACTGCAAAGTTGTTTTAACAATATAAAGAGCTTGTGTTAATGTAAAAACAACTTTGTGGCGCTGTTTTATTGCTGTTTTATACAGTTTATAACCTTATAAAAACGCATAATTTTAATTGATAAATTAAAACATTATTGTCATAAAACTTTAAACTTCTTGTTTGCGCAAAAACATGCCTATTGACCATATGAGTCTATAATCTATAAACCAAACAAGTAAGATCAAAGCAAAAAACATTAGATACCACCTTTTTTATAATTTACTGTTTCTTGAGCTAGTGTACTATTAAAAATTAAAGTATAATTAAGTTCAAATTTAATTCAAATTTATTCAAATGGTTTCAAATTCATTCAAATGGTTTTTAAGTTGATGTTTTCATTCAATTTTTTCATAAAAATTGTTTTGCAATAAGAAGTGAAACTAGGTTTGAATCCACAGACTACTCTTTTATGTGCTTTCGTTTAGCACCACTTCACTCTATCACCTTTATCTTTGTTCTATATCGCTCTCCCTCATCTCAAGACTGCACTCTTCTTGATGTTATTTCTGATTATATTGACCAACCCCTCATTCTTTATCCATCAGTCAATATTGTTGTTGTCGGTGACTTTAATGTTCATCACACTGAATGGCTTGGCTCTAGTGTCAGTGACTCTGCAGGCATTAAGGCCAACAACTTTTGTCTTTCTCAATCCCTAACTCAAATAGTCAACTTTCCAACTCGCTTTCCAGACAACTCGAATCATTTACCTTCTCTACTCGACTTATGTCTTGTTTCTGATCCTAGACAGTGCTCAGTTTCTTCACACTCACCCTTAGGTGCGTCTGATCATGGTTTGGTCTCTCTAAAACTATTATCTCATTCTTCTTTACCATCAGAATCCCCCTATCATTGTACATCTTACAACTACCTTGAAGCTGACTGGGACTCTTTCCGTGATTTTCTTTTGTCTCCCTGTTGACAAATGTGCTTCTTACATAACTTCGTGGATTCAGGCTGGCATGGAATCCTTTATTTCCTCTCGACGGTTCCAGGTCAAGCCTCACTCTTCTCCATGGTTTTCCTCACATTGTGCTGCTGCAATTGCCAATTGAAACCATTACTTCCATATCTATCAGCAAAACAATTCTCCAGAAAACAGACGTCTGTTTATTACTGCTAGGAACCATTGTAAAAAGGTTTTGTCTAACGCCAAAGCTCGCTATTCTCAGATCATGAAATCTTGCATTTCATCACAAAAATTAGGCTCTCGTGACTTCTGGAGAATCTTTAATAGTATCAATAATAAGGGCAAGTCTGTAATTCCACCTCTTTTGTATGGTTCAGACTTTGTCACCTCACCTAAAGACAAAGCTGAATTGTTTGCCAAGAACTTTTCATCAATATCATCTCTTGATGCCACTAGTTGTGTTCTACCTGATATAGCCGTCAAACAGGTTGATCCATTGCTCGACATTCATATCACTCCAGCTTCTGTATCTAAAGTGATTTCCTGCTTAGACTCTTCTACAGCTTGCGGCCCGGACAACATACCTGTTATAGTCTTGCAGAAGTGTTCTCCGGAGCTGTCATCTATCCTTTCAAAACTATTTAACAAGTGCTTATCAGAGTCTTGTTTTCCAGCCTGCTGGAAAGCAGCATCTGTTATCCTTATTTTTAAAAATTCTGGAGAGCGATCTGATTCATCTAACTACCGTCCCATTAGTCTTCTTCCTATCATAAGCAAGGTTTTTGAATCTTTAATTAACAAATACTTAATCTCTCATCTCGAATCTCATAACCTACTTTCTGATCATCAATACGGATTTCGACCTTCTCGTTCTACGGCTGATTTGCTATCAGTAATAACCGATAGGTTTTATCGCGCATTAGATAAAGGTGGAGAGGTTAAGGCCATCGCTCTTGACATTTCTAAAGCGTTTGATAAAGTTTGGCATGCTGGTCTTCTCCATAAGCTTTCTTCTTATGGTGTATCTGAAAACATCTTTAAGATTATTGAATCCTTTCTTTACAATCGTAGTATAAAAGTTGTCCTTGATGGACAGCATTCTTCTTCTTATTCTGTAACCTCAGGGGTTCCCCAAGGTTCAATCCTTGGCCCTATACTCTTTTTAATTTACATTAACGATCTTCCAGATATTCTAACATCTAAAATGGCTGATGTGAGAATATCTGGAAGAACAACTGATGTTACTACCATTTATTCTTGTCATGATAAGAAGCCAACTCCCTCTGATTGCTTGCAGGGGGCATCTGAGCTTGAAAAGGATCTCATTTCTGCTACAGCATGGGGCTTACAGTGGCTGGTGAACTTTAATTCAGATAAAACTCAATTTTTTTCGGCCAATCGTTATCGCAATAATTTAGACCTTCCTATATTTATAAACGGTAATGTACTCGATGAGTCTCCTACCCTTCATCTTCTAGGATTAACTCTTACTTCTGATCTTTCTTGGAAACCTTATATCAAATCCGTTGCAAAATTAGCATCTGCTAAAGTTGCTTCTCTTTATCTTTTAGACAAGGTGCAAAAACGCATTGTAAGCATAGTCGGACCTGCTCTTGCAGCCAACCTTCAACCTCTGTCACATCGTCGTAATGTTGCTTCTCTTTCTCTTTTCTACAAATACTATAATGGGCACTGCTCGAAGGAGCTAGCGTCTCTTGTGCCATCTACTAAAATTCATTCTCGTGTTACTCGTCATTCAATCAAGTCTCATCCTTTTTCTGTTACTGTTCCTAAGTGCTCCAAAAACTCTTATTCTTCTAGTTTTTTTCCTCGAACATCAGTTCTTTGGAATTCACTTCCTTCATCTTGCTTTTCTGATTCATATAATTTGCAATCTTTTAAGTCGTCTGTCAATCGTTATCTTGCTCTCCAATCTTCATCTTTTCTCATCCAGTAACTTCCAACACTAATTAGTGGTTGCTTGCAGCCTTGTTGGAAGCAAAGATAATTAAAAATAAATAAAAAAAAAATAAAAATAAAAATTTGGTTTAATAAATCAAATTATATTTCCCTTACAGGGTCATCCATAAATTATGTCATACTTTAGGGGGAGGGGGAGGAGGGAGGCAATTTTGTGATGATTTGTTACTAGGAGGAGGAAGGAGGCTCTGGTTTTGTGACTCAACAAAAGTTGATAATATTCCACTTAAACTGCCAAGTCTTTTATTCAATAAAACAGATGTAAAAAGGGAATCTGTTAATTTTTTAGGAGTAATTCTTGATAAAAACTTGTCATGAAGATTGAGGTCGGCAATAATTTGCCGATCTCAATCTTTTTGTGTTGGCATCAGGTTGGCAAAAATTATTTGATACAAAGGTCTGACCATAAAACATAGAAACAATGTCAGCAATTTTTTGCCGACATCAAACACTTTCAGGTTGGCAGTTAGGTTGGCATTGCCAAATGTCGACCCTAATTCTGAGGTTTGATATATGTAATATGTTTTTATTGTAAACTTTTAAAACTATTTTCAAAGAATGTTTTATCAAAGAACATTAATATAAGAAGTGAAATACAACAAGTGTTTTCATTACATCAATACAGTCCACATCCAACCAAGACGTTGTGTTCCACAGAGCATTATTGTATCATCACAAGGTAAATGTAATACAGTAAGCCTTGAGAAGCGTGATTTTATTATTATTTGTATGACTTCAAGTGCAAAAATGGCTCCCGACAGTCTTGAATTGGAACTAAGAAAGAAAATTATTGGCGATTATGTAAGTGGTAAGTCACAAAAAAGTATTCGTAGTAAATATTGCGTGAAAAAATGGACCGTCTCAAGACTATGTTCCAAATATTATTCCAACGGGAAGTTGGCAGCAAATAACAAAGGTGGAAGACCGCGTTCCACCACTCCTAGAGAGGATTCTATTATCGTCAGATCTGTCAAGAAGGTCAGATCTTTCATCATTTGCCATGTACATCGACAGGCCAGAAAATGTCTCAATTTACGTTACTGTCATAAGACCGTGAAGCATGGTGGGGGCAATGTAATGGTCTGGGAGTGTTTTTCTGCTGACGGTCTAGGTCCAATACATCGAATCGATGGAATAATGGGCCGTTTCATGTATAAAAATATCGTGAAAGATGTTATGTTACCTCATGCTGAATGGAATATGCCAATAAAATAGGTTTTTCAGCAAGACAATGATTCGAAACACACTGCAAAAGTAGTCAAGCAGTGGTTTCAAGACAACCACCTATCAGTGATGGATTGGTTGGAATCTCTGGATCTCAACCCGATCGAGAACCTGTGGGAGATCGTCAACCGCAGAATTAATCATGAAGGTGTTTGTAATAAGGAACAACTGTTTGAACAAATCCAAAAGGCCTGGGCAGCGATTCCACAAAGTTTCATTGATCACCTGATTGAATCTATGCCTCAAAGATGTAAGGCTGTGATCGACAACAAAGAATTCGCCACGAAATATTGATAGCAAATTACAGCTTGGTCAACATTCTGTTGAGTTGCACTTGTTTTGTCCAGAAAGAAATCAACTTTTTTTAATACTTTTGATTAATTTATTAATTTTCGTGTACAAATAATGAACTTTGTGATGAATGAAACTTGAAGGACGTTGTCTTCAAACAGTTACATAGTTATTTTTCTAAATTGAAAAAATACAATGCATGTTTCTATATAAAGATACTAAATTAGCATTATTTGGTTGCACTTGTTTTGTCCGATACTGTAAATTGCATATAGCATACAAAAGTTGTTGATATACTAAAAGTGGCAAGTTCTTTTCAGCATACTTAGTGTAACTTGGTCCCACCACTTGAGTTGGTTAATGACAATGATGCCAAAGTCACCCTCAAAGTAGGTCTTGTTGAGACCGTGGTTGTTACCAAGTTGTTCATTCAGGAGCCCAAATTTAATAAACAAAGCCAAATATCTTTGCATTCTTTGGCCTTGTTTATTAAAGCATAAAGAATTTGAAGGTTATTTTAACATGTATTAATGATGCATTGTTCATGTGTGCAGAGAACTTTATAAACAAGTTTTTTGATATTGCATAAGGCTTTGTTAAACGCCAGTTTTACAAGAGGCTTTGGTCATATGGTGATGCATGAAGTCCGACAAAGATTGATTTTTTTATTCAAGGTTTATTTGACCTCATTGTTTAACCACTTCTGTGTGGGTTTGAGATTAATAAATTTGCAGCAAGCTGGAATGGAAAAAGATACAGCAGAGACTTTTACTTCTGATGCATAGCACTGGTCAACTGTCAGGTAACCTAATTCCAGAACCAAATTGGACACATTGAAGTAGCTGATCATTTTTTTAAAGTTGGTATGTTTATAAATAAACAACCCTCATAATCAGGAAAAATGAGGTCCGCAATAATTTGCCGACCTCAATCTTTTTGAGGTTGGCATCAGGTCGGGAAAAATTGTTTGATGCAAAAGTCTGACCATAAAACATAGAAACGAGGTCGACAATTTTTTTTGCCCACCTCAAACACTTTCAGGTCAACAGTTAGGTTGACATTGCCGAATGTCAACACAATTTTGAGGGTTGAATAAAATATTTTCAGCTTTTGTTTGGTGTCTAAATAAAACTCCTTGAATAAAATATCCATATGCATTGCATGTGGTTTATTTTAGAGGATCCAAGAGGAGTTATGCTTTTGACATTAAAGATATATGTTGGATTATATAAAAATACATGGTCAACTTAATTTTTGCGGAATTTTAGTTTCTAAACAAACTGAATAAGTAAGCTGTCTTGAACAGCTTCAAGGAATGTGCTTTTCTGTGAATTTGTATTGATAGAGTACCCACCTGGGCTGTTTCACTTGATTTTTGGGTAGTTGAAGTCTCTAACAATTTGTGTGGTAGTGGTGTAGTGGTAGAGCGTTTGCCTCATAAGGTAGAAGTTCCAAATTCGATCCCCACCATGTCCCTGTTAGTACCAGACTCAACTTGTTTCTTCGCACAGCAACTTTGTTTGTCAAGATTTGTGTTTCAGAGTTATAGAGTTGAGAAAAGGTTTTAATCACATAATCAAAATCTTCAATTATAGTGGCCTTCATGGCCTTGGAGAGGCGAATTAATAAAAATAACAACAACAAAAAAATAGGAGTTAGGTGAATTTGTTTTGCTTGACTAGAAAAGGTGTTTGATTAATTGCCTTGTTTATGATTTTGTTCAGATAAAATAATGAGTTTTTAACTAAGAAATAAACAAAAGATTGAAAATATTTTGATTTTGTTGTTTATGAGTTTAATTTAGCAGTGTATAGAATTTTTAATAAATATCATATAATAAATTTGTCTATATAGATATAGCTAAATGGGATAAAACAAATTAAAATTCCCTTTTAATGAAGTACTTATCTTTAGATAGTGCAAATAAATTTATGTGTAAAAAACTTGAGTAAGTTTAAATAATAATATACAATATTGTACTATATTTTATTATGCTAGATTGTCTTATATTTGGGAAGTCTTGAATGATGATGGTGAATGGCCTGAAGAGTTATTACAAGAAAATTCAACAACAACAGGCTTTAAAAACTCTTATCTTGTAATAAATGTTGAAACATTGTTGACTTCAAAAAACTACACTTTTATACTAAAAGTTGGATATATTGAGTCTCCTTATAAAGCTTTGTTTAAAATCAAAAAACAAACATCATCAATACCTCTTCCAGGAACTTGTTTTGTAAGGTAACATAATTTTATTAAAGAGGTTTAAAAATTAGTTTTTGGTTTTTGTTTTTTAGTAGTTTTTACATTATTAGTAATAATTTTGAAAATTTTTTGTTAGAAAATGTTTCTCTGCTTATTTTAAAAAAGTGTTTTCTGAAACATTTATTGTATTATAAGGATATTCAGCCCTCTGAATTAGAAAAAATAAGGTATAACCTCTATTAGGTCAGAATCAGGTTGGCAAAAGATTTAAAAAGAGGGTTCAACAAATTATAAAACTTTGAGAAAAACTGACTGTTTGCTGACTGTACTACCAAACATTGGCATTTGCTTTAAAATTTGAAAAATGATTAAACTGCTGTTTTTTTTTTTGTTTTAATTATTTTACTTAAAATTAAAAAATGCATTCACTTTTTCCATTTTTATTTTAATTTGTTTTGTTTGCAATTTAAATAAAACATTTGTTTTTTCGTTTTGTTATTTTCATTATTTTATTAAGGATTTGAATGAAAAGTTTTTTCGTTGCTTTTTTTTATTATTAGTTTCTTTATAATTTAATATAATTTTGTTTTTTCTTGTTTGAATTCTAACAATTTACAATAAAATAAAATTTTATTTTAATTATTTTATTTAGAATTAAATTCTAAATAAAGTATTTAAAATAAAAACAAATTCATTTAAAAAATACAACATTAAAACAAACAATTTATTTGATTAAATAAAACTTATTAATGATGTTTGAACTTGAATTAATTAGTTCAGAACTTAATAAAAATTTATCTTGCCATTTTATTTTTAATTATATTATTCAAAATTTTTCTGTTATATTTTTAAGTATGTTATTTAGAATTTAAATAAAACTTTACTGTTTTTATTTTAACTATTTTATTTAAAATTTAATTAAAATGTTTGTTTTTTTAGTTGTTTTTTTAACTTTCAGAACCTAAATAAAACGCTAGTTTTGTAGTTTTTGTTTTAATTATTTTTTTTGAAATTTGAATAAAGCATTTGTTTTGCTGTTTTTGATTCATTTGAAATACATAAGCAAATTAGCAAATACATAAATTTTAAAATTCGAAAGGCGGCAAAATATAAAGAATGCCAACCCTAATTCCAAGGACTGGGTATTAAACCAAATTTTATTTTTAAATTTTAAATTTTTCATTCAAGAATCTTAAAACAATTTGGAATTTGATTCAACTGATTACTGAGTTGTACAAGAATTTTTTTAAAGCTATTGTTAAGTGGGGTGGAGGGGTGGGCAGGTGAGTTATTAATGATCTTAACTCAACTGCTTACCCTTTGTCCATAAAGTATTTATACCATAAATATTTTATGTTACAAAACTTAAATATATAAAAATATTGTATATTATGTTACAAAACTTAAATATATAAAAATATTGTAATAATTTGTATTATATATTCCACTATGTATTATATATCTTGGTAAAATCAAGAACTCAAAGGTATAAATACTATTTATACCTTTGAGTTATAAAATCAAACACCCAACTTAATGGTATATATATATATACCATTACGCTGGGTTTTTAATTTTATCGAGTTGAGGTTTTAAAATATATAATAATAATAATATATAATAGGTTATACAATAAATACATTTAAGTGACCAGGGCCCTGGCTTCAGCCCTGGCTAAATATAGGGTTTTTTACAACCACCGCTTAACAATAATTCTAGTAATATAAACTGTGATGTCGCGACCTATTTACATTGAAATATTTTTTATACAAATTTGTCTGTAATTTTTCTCTAAATGCATTGAAAAAATTTGTATAATAATTAAACAATTTTTTTTTGTTTTAACTAATAATAGATAATATGTTATGTTAATTATGTTAGTTAAAAAGTCATCAAAAATATCTAACTAAAAAATCATCTTTTTTAGAACACAAAACTTTAACATTGGATGTAAAAAAATTTTTTCTTATTCTTATTTCTTATTTCTTATGTTATTGAGTTAATAAAAAAAAAATTAATTAAAAATTAATTTAAGGGGTTTTACCTCTTTGAAAAAAAATTAAAAATAAAAATTGACTTAATTTTTTTTGTTTTTTTGTTGCTACTTTTTGTTTTTTTGTTGCTTCTTTTATGTCCATATCTCAAATTTCTTTTTCAGCTACCTTTTTAGTTCTATGCATATTTTTGAATGACACTTCTGCTACAAAAATTATATATGGTCAAACAAGACTCTGATAAGCATTTGTTAAATAGTTTTGAAAGTATGGACAACAGCTCCCTAGACTTGCGCAAGACTATAACATCTATGTTGTACAAACCACAGCTGTAGGAGAGTTTTAAAAATTTTTGAAAAGAGGCTCTGGAGCCAAATTTTTTAGATAAAATATAAGATTATGCGACCTGAGAACAGCGGGCTTAGGCATTAGACAAAACATTTTTACAATGGTTTTTAGCTGTAGGAAACAGACATCTGTTTTCTGGAAAATTGTTTTGGTAATAGGTATGGAAGTAATGGTTAGGATTGGAAATTGCAGTAGCACAATCAGAAGAAAATCACAAAGAAGAGTGAGGCTTGACTTGGAATTGTCGAGAGGGAATAAAAGAACCCATACCAGCCTGAATCCAAGTTGGATTCAGGCTGGTATGGATTCTTTATTCATAGGGATTTTGATAAAGAAAAATGAGATAATAGTTTTAGAGAGATCAAACCGCAATTAGATGCACTTAAGTGTGAAGGTGGAGAAGTTGAACACTGATCAGAAACAAGTTAAGTAGAGAAGGTAAATGATTAGGATTGTATGGGAAGCATTTTGGAAAGTTTACTATTTGTGTTAGACATTGAGAAAGGTAAAAGTTGTGAGCCTTAACACCTGCAGAATAACTGACATCAGAACCAAGCCATTCAGTGTGATGAACATTAAAGTCATCAGTAACAATGATATTGGCTGAAGGGTAATGAGAAAGGGCTAGGTCAACTTGATTAGAAATAACATAGAAAAAGAGTGCAGACTTTAGATAAAGGGGAGCAATATAGAACAAAGAGAAAGTTGATAGAGTGAAGTAGTGCTAATTGAAAGCACATAAAAGTGTTGTCTGTGTATTCAAACCTACCTACACAACAAATGGGTGAATTCCTACGAATGTAAATACTCAGGCCAAGCATGTGACTATTGAAATCTTTATGAATTAAAGTGAGATAACTATCAACACTAAGATCACAAGATGAGACAGCTGAACTCAAATTAGTCTCACAAAGAGCAAGTAGGTCTATTATTAAGTGTGACTATTGGAGTTTTTATGAATTGAAGGAAGATAACTGTCAACACTAAGATTACAAGATGGACTCAAAGCCTCATTACTATTAATAGTCTCACTAACTTTGCAAGAACTTTACTTGAGATAAGACTTAACAGAAGAAAAGTTACTTTAAAGACCACGAATATTAGTGAATGATAGATTTAGAGAACTTGGTTATGATAATGGTATTTTCTTTGTTTATTAGTTTTTAATACTTTAGTCATTTTTTAAATTGTTTAAAGAATTTGACTCAAAGCACAGATAGTACTCAGTGCACTACCTAATAGTGTACTGATATAAAGCGTTTGCCTCATTGCTATTAATAAAGTCTAAACTGTTACAAAGGGCTCCAAATGCCAATGTACACCAAAAGTACAAACAAGGACATTATCCATGGGCAACATGGCACTGTTATTTTTCTATTATTAATATGAAGTCAGCCTCTTTGTGAGTTACCACAGAGTTTGATAAACCTTACTACCAGCCAGCCGCAAAACCATTAGACTGAGTTTAAAACTGTACCTAATATATGCCACTTTTATGTCTTTTAGAAAGAGTATACAAAAAACCATGAGTGAGATCAAACATGTATCATCTTTGGCAGAGAACAATGTTACACATGTTTACCTTTATGCCAACTTATCAGAGTGATAAGCTTTCCAACAGATTTTCCAACAGAAGGGGTACAGAAGGGGAAATTATACAACAGATTTTCTGCTTAATCATTCCCCTAATATAAATATTCCTAATTACCTCTAATATAAAAGAACTATTTTTTAAATTATTGTCTTTTAAAAAAAATGGCTTAAAAATGAAAATCTGCTTTTTAATTGAAATCTGCTGAAGAAAGTAATATTTAATAATCATTAATTAGAGATTAACTTTCCATAAGTGTTTTTTAGCAACTAATGTATAGAAATTTTAAGATACTTTTCTTTAATTCTTGAAGCAGCAAGTCACAAACTTAATTATTTAAAGGAGTTTAAAATAGAAAAATTAATTATTATTAAAAATGAATATTAAAAATTACCAAAAAAATTATAATTCTATTTGGGGTGTCACTTGTATGAAGCATAATGCTACTTAGTTAGACAATCATTTGTTGATTGGAATGAATGGCTTCATTGATTGGAATGAATGGCTTCATTGATTGGAATGAATGGCGTCATTGATTGGAATGAATAGCTTCATTGATTGGAATGAATGGTTTTTTGATGAAGCAATGCCTGGAAAATACAGTAAATTGGGTGTGATCATAAAAATTGGTTTATTAAAACCAAAAGTGATTTCACAGCTTTCATTAACTTTAAGATAAAATAGAAAAAAAATTGGTTTCGTTTATGAAAATAAAAACTGAAATTAGGAATTAGCTAAAGAAAGAAAATGGAAATTGAAAAGTTGAAAATTGCTATCAGAAAAAAAAATAGAAATAAAACTATGAATTACCAAACAAAAGATATTAAATATAAAAAAAAATTTAATATAATTAAAATTTTTTTGACCATTTATTTACAAGTTCTTCATACTGACTTTATTATTGGAGCACATGTCTAACCATAAGCTGGTATATGACCAGCTTATGGTCACACATGTGCTTTCTGGCTTTCTTGCCATGTTTTGCCTTTTTTAATTTTTATAATTGACTCATCAAAATTTCAATCTTTTGTTACAAAATAAATTAGTTATTAGGTTTTTGAATAATAGAACAATAACAGAAAGATAAGTTCATTAAGGTTATCGGCTTGTAGGAAAAGTGATAGTACATGAAAAGAATAATAAACATGAGTTGCAAAAACATGTTAGAAAACATGTTTTTGCAACTTATGTAACAACAATATACATTGAAATCAAAATCACAACTGTGGAAAAGTTAAATATTTCAACAAAATCTTTTTGTGTTTAAGTAATTTAAAGAATGGAATGATTATCTGTGACAAATAGAGCCATTACTTTAAAATAATTAAAAAATATTAAAAAAACCTTTTGTACTGTTAAAGACACAAAAATTAAAAAATTGTTAATGAAAAAGCAACTATTTATAATTTATAATTAATTATAAGTTATAGTTAATAATGAGCTATTAATTATAAGTTTATAATTAATTATAAGTTATAGTTATTAATGTATATAAATATTGCTAAAAAATAATTCCCAGATACAAATGAAAACATTTGTTAAAGATACTTACAGGTAAAATGATATTCAATGTCATTGTTTGCATACAGACAAAGCTTGGTAGAAAGTTAAAGTTTTTTCATTTTTCTAAAGAAATAGTTTTTAGGATATACCAGATTATTTGAATCATACTTTTCATTATTGAAAGTTTCTTTCTTTAGAAAGTCATTTGATTTTCTAGATATTCCAAGAAAAATTTTATAAGGGGGTTTGCCAATTGAGTGTTTCCTAATATTTTTCTACATATCGAGTAATATAAGATAAAGCATTGTTTTGCTGTTAAAAAATAAAATAATTTTCAAATTATAATTTAAATAAAAAGTATTGTTGTGCTGTAAAATATTAGTATGTGGTAAAATAATAGTGGGTGTCTCAAATGTATCAAATGTGTTGACTACACCTTGTTTTTCATTTTTTAAATCCTTCCTCCTATTATATTCATGAGACTTACTTGCTATAGGACTAATTTGATTTTGTCTCATTTATAGCTATTATCCTCTGATTTGCCTCCAATACTCACATACTTGGTCTAGGTATATACTTTCAAACAAGTTCACCAATTTATTGTGTAATCAGGTTTGAATTCTCTGACCAATCTTTTATGTGCATCTATTTTACTCAATCTCTTCATTCAATATCGCTCTCTTACTTCTTAAGACTGTTTTCAATGTTGTTTTTATCAAATTGTCTGAGCTTTTTTTCTTAATTCATCAGTGGGTATTGTTGTTATTAGCAACTTTAATGCTCATCATACTGAATGGCTAGACACGAGTATAACTCTGCTGCCTCTAAAGCTCATAACTTTTGCATTTCTCATTCTCATATAAATAGTTATGACTCATTTTTAGTTTTTTATTTATTTTGCAGTCCTAATCTCTTACCTTCAATCTATGAATTCTGTCTCTAACACTAGCTTGGGTTCAGTTTCTCCTTGTTCCTCTTTTGATGTTGTGGGCCATGATATGATCTCAAATAAAAGTTTTTTATTTTAAAATCATCATGATCAAAAAAACCATCTTTTTCAGAACATCATACTTTTTATTACTATCTTAAAGCATTCATTGCATGATTTTCTTTTTGATGGTCTCTGGGTTATGTGTTAATGTCTCTAATAATAATTGTGCCTCCTACACACTCTTTAGGACTGAGGCAGTTTTGAGTGCTGTTCTGTTCGTTTCAGTCAAATCTCATTCTACCTCATGGTTTATCAAAAGGTGGTAAAAACCATGAAAAATATTATAACAATTTTACTTTGTTATAACAATTGTGATATAAATTGTTGTATTTCATTGCTGTATTTTATTTTTTTGATATAACCTTGTGATAATTGTTATAACATTCAAATCATTTCCAAAACAACTCTTTTTGCCAAAGACATTATGCAGTACAACATATTCTGCAGTTAATTTGTTAAATGTTATAAAAAAAAGATTCTACCATTAAATAGAGGTGGGGCAAGAAAAGTTTATTGCATTTGATATATCAAAGACTATCAATAGAAACAAAGTTTTTCATAAATATACAGCTGCATCTAATTAACTTAAACAACTGTATTATGTGTGTTTAATGTAGCCTTGCTTATACCAGATTTATTTTGTTTGTAGTGAAACTGCAATAATTCTTAAAATCATGTCAATGTCGTTGTTTACTTTTAGCCCTCAACAAGGATATGCTATAATTACAAAATTTAAAATCATTTGTCAAGATTGGACAGATAAAGAGAATAGTATATTAAAATATCAGTTCTTTTATGACAATGGTGTTGCAGAGAAATACACTATGACAACAAATGGTGATATAGGTTACCCATTGTTAAATGCCAAATCTCTTGATGATCCGATGCTGATAGATTTTGCATTGGGTCCTGGTAACATGAGTAAAAATTACTCAATTGCAATACTTATCAGAGTTGTTGGAGTTTATAACGCCTTCACGAAATATCCTGACATTTATATTCAGGTATTTTTTAATTTAATTTATTTTAATTTTATATTAAATGGAGTTTCTGATTTTGACTTGTATTTGGATAGTTTTAAGATCTTTATAAAGACTTAAAGGCTATTATTAAAGGCTTTAGTGGAAGTCTCCCATATAACATTTAAAAGTTATGTTACATTTTATTTGGTCACAATTAGGAACAAGGGTACATTTTTCAATTAAGTATTTAGTAAATAAACTTGATAACACATTAAATGTTTGTTTATCATTGTCGTATTAGTAATTATCATCTTTTAGTTTATTTCAATTTTTGTCTCAATTGGTTACTTTGTCACGAAAAAAAAAAGTTTCAATTGGCAGCATTATGTCTCAATTTTTTTTTAATTTTTAAAGTGTAACCAATGAGGTATAACGTAATGTAAAATAATCTAGATATGAGACATAACTAAAACACGTCTTAAATAAATTTTTTTTAAGTTACGTTACGTCTCAATTAGTTATGCTCTGAAAAGTTAAAAACAAAAGTTGAAACATAATATAACATTAAAATCTATATTTGTGACACATTTTAATTATGTTTTAATTCCTAAATGTTTTTTCTTGATTCAGAACACTTTTAAAGATTATAAAATAAATAATTAGATTGCTTATTTTGTAATAATTAATTATAATATAAAAACATTTGTTTAAAGTTTTGATGTATTTTATTTCACTTAAGGTATAATTCAGAATATTTTTCATTCAGAGCGTTTTTAAAATGTTTTTTGAAATGGATGCAGTCAAATTGTCAAATCAAAATGTAATTTGCCTGGTCATATAAAGACGTGCAATCACACGTCTTCCCGTGAAAGACTGTATTAGTTACATAATAAAATTTTTAATAATAATAATAATTATAATAATTAGACTTTACTTTATGTTTTACATCATGTTACTTTTATAGATTAATTTGTTTTATTTACTTTTAAAAAGTTTTTCACCATACATTATTATTAATAAATATATAATATTGTAGTAAAATAATTTTGTTAAGTACTGCAACTCATTAATGAGTTATGGAATTAAAAAATTACATTTGCAATTAAAAAGTGTTTTTTTTTAAATGTTTATCATCGTTTATTTTTGTTGTAAAGTAGATTTGTCTCAATTAGTTACTTTAAGTTTTCTCAATTGGTTTTTTTTTAATTTATAAAAGTACAACTTTTTAAAAGTGTAAACTTTGACATAAGGTAACAAAACATTAGTTTTGTTGCAATTTTTAAAATAAACTTGAATTAATAATAAACAAGAATTGTCAAAAGTATGTTTAACTTTTTCAAATGTGCAGTGTTGTGTGTATCATAAAATGTGTTTCATAAATGTATTTACATATATATATATATATATATATATATATATATATATATATATATATATATATATATATATATATATATATATATATATATATATATATATATATATATATATATATATATATATATATATATACATATATATATATATATATGTATATATATATAATTTTTTTGTATATATATGTTCACATCATTAAAATCACTAAAAACATGTTATTTTTTTAAACATCTTTTCTTCCAACAAGGCTGTAAGTAACCACTTTTAGAGTTGGATGTTACTATGGTTAAAATGAAGTTACTATAGTAGTTACAGGTTTAATGAAGACTGGCTTTCTAATCTGAATAACTACTCATTATATAGACAGGAAAGGAGTGATTGGGGAAGAGCCGATGGGGTTACTAACTACATTTCTAACAACAATTGATCAAATGTATGACATATTTTTATATTACTATAATAATAAAATTGAAAAGTTTATTCTGCATTACGTTACATATACTCGCCTTAACCCATGGTCCATCAAACATATTGTCAATCATGCTCAAAAAAAGAAAAATAGTTTTTATTTCAATTGTGCCAATTATAAAGCGTTAAAAAAAATAGAAATAGAGGCAAAAAATGCAAGAAATGAATTCCAAATGCCCAAAGCTTCTATATTAACACATTAACATCATGCAAAATGTAAATAACAATGTCTGACCACTACAAGATAAAAATGGTTAAAAATCTGTGACAATCTTTTTAATATTACTAATATCTTAAATACTCAATTTCAATTGGTATTTATCAAAGAGAATGCAATTTGTCAATTTGATATTAAAAATATTTCCATTTCTAAACCATTGGATGAAGTTAAAATATTATTTAGACATAATGAAATATTGGAACTTTTGAACAACAATATAAATAAATTTATTGGCAGTGGCAAGGTTCAGCCTTCTTAGAGAATTTTTAAAGAATGCTCGAATGTCACTAGCATATCCAATTTTACTAATATTTGAAAAGTCCTAAGCTTCCAACAAAGTGGCAAGTGATTGGGAAGACGCAAATGTCACTCCTTATTTCAAAAAAGGTAATAAACTTATGACAAAAAACTATTTCACTGACATCAATTACCTGTAGGCTATTTAAATCAATAATAAGCAAAGAAATTTTGGACAACTTAATAACAAATAATCTGATTAATATGCAACAACATGGATTCTGCCATAATCATTTGTATCTGGGAATTAATTTTTAGCAATATTTATATACATTAATAACTTATAATTAATTATAAACTTATAATTAATAAATTATCTATCAAATTTTCAACAACAGCTCTACATCAGCTCTTCAAGATGGCATTTTCATTCATTTTCACAATTACTTGAAGTGCAGAGCTAATTGTGAGAAACAACATGCAGTTAGCTTTGCATCTAAAACAAATTAAGCACTTGGTATGATAAAGTGCACCTTTAGGTATATAGATAAACAGATGATCCGATAGCGATCACAAATAATACCGAATATGTATTATAACTTATATTTTTAAGATCTTGACCATTTTTACATTAACTACATTACTTATATTCTTTTTAGAAAAAACAAAAAATTTGTTTAATAGCAAAAAAACACTATTGTTCAAATAGTTGCCACATAATTGTTATTTAGTTCGTTATAGCCATATTGGCGCTATTTACTGGTTATATCGATCCTGGTATCGGAATGTTGTTTTTCTTTTATGCTAACTCAATTTTCTTCTAATCATTCTCCCCCTCTTTGATAGACTCCAGTCTATCAAACATTTAATTATCAAATTCAAGAAGACACAATCTCGTAATTGGTCGTATAAATTCTTTTTTGCCAATTTTGACTTTCACAACTCTTACACATCCATCCTTACCTTCAAAGACCCGTAATTCTACCAAGTGGCCAATGTCCTCTAGATGTATCTGGAGAAATTACTAACACAATGTCATCCGTTTTTATTTCGCGTTTTTTTCTGATTCCATTTATATCTTTTAGATATAGATGGAAGCCATTCTTGCATCCACCGTTTCCAAAAATGACTCTCTTGCACTCGACGTCAGCGCTTTTTAGGATGATAGAACTGAGTCAGGTGCAAATTGTCCACGACTTTTCCCAATCAATAAATGATTTGGAGTTAATGGAATATCATCTTTTATATTGGCACTCTGATATAATAGTGGGCGAGAATTCAATAAACTCTCAGCACCTGTAAATGCCGTACAGAGTTCTTCATCTGTAATATTGGCTTTTTTGAGTATCCCAGTCATTGCACGTTTGACACCTTTGACCATTATTTCAAATACACCGCCAAGATGAGGTCCTAACGGAGCATTAAAGTGCCACTTGATTCCTTTATCAGCTGTAGATTTAGTAATTTTATCCTTATCTATGTCATCGACAAATTCGTTTAGTTCTCGACATCCTCCAACAAAATTAGTTCCATTGTCCGTTAAAACTTCTAATGGTAATCCTCTTCTATTCACCATTTGATAAAAGTAATGGGCATTTTGCAATCAACTGCAAGATCGCAATAATCCGTCTTCGTCAATTTGCGGATTTAAAGAAATGATTTTGCTTGATATCGATATTGGTTTTCCTTTTTCAATGTTGTTATATTCTTCTTTAATGCTTTCTTTTTGAGCTTTAGCTATGATTTCTTTATCGCTTTCATGATATTCATCAGCTGCTATATCACCCTTTTTACGAAAGTCTGTTTCAAATCAGCAATTTCCTATAAACCGATGGATTCAGCCATTTATCCTGACAAGTTTTTTCCAACATAAGAACTTGTTTATATCAAGCAATTGCTTTGTTACTTCCGTGGATAATGCAAAAATCATTAATACTGGATTTTTATTTACTTCAATTGGAGCCTCTTGTGTAACTTCAATGTGATTCTGTGGCCATTTTTCTTCTAAAGAATTAAGGAAACTTGGTCCATGCCACCATACATAATTGCTTTCTAATTCTTTAACTGTTGTTCCTCTTGTTAGTAAATCAGCTACATTAGTTTTTGTTGGTATGTATCTCCATTGTTTTAGTTCAGTCTTTGATTTAATGAATCCAACACGGTTGGCAACAAATAGTTTCAACTTTCGACTTTGATTTTTTAACCACCATAAAACATTAAGACTATCACACCATATAGTTACATCCTTAGTTTCCAGCTTCAATGCCTTGACAATCTTCTCTGCAAGTCTTAAACCAAGGACAGCTCCAAGTAACTCAAGTCTTGGTATAATAATAGATTGCAATGGACTTACTCGGGCTTTTGACATTATGATCACACAGGTCACTTTTCCTGTGTCATTTAAACATTGTTGGTAAGCAACAACACCGTAAGTTTTACAAGGCGCATCCGTAAAAACATGGGTTGACCTATTTGTTACTGTTGAGGTTGTTTGTAAACATCTGGGAATGTTTATTTTTGGGAGATCGTTTAGTTCTTGAAACCATTGATCAAAATTATTTGCAATTCTATCCAGAACTGCATCATCCCACTCAATTCTATCAATCCACAGTTCTTGCATAGTTATTTTGATTCAAATGATATATAGTGCCAAAAACCCCAATGGATCAAACAACGTTGCCATTTTTTTAAGCAAAATTCGTTTTTTATATACCGTATTTTCTTCGGTTGTTACAGAATGAAAACTAAATAAATCAGGTTTCGCTTTCCAGACAACTCCAAGAATTTTCATTGCAGGCAATTCTCCAGAATCTAAATTTATATGTTCTGCACGATCATTTTCTGGTGTTATTTTAAGAACGACCAAGTTTGAAAGCCACTTTCGTGCAATCATTCCTGCTGAACCCCATAGTAGCATGAGTTCCTTGTATAATTGAACTCCTACTTTTTCATCAACGGCAGAAGTTATTGTGATGTCCATGTAAGTTGCTTAAAGAACAGCTTCAGAAGCCAAAGGAAATTTTTTTGCATACTTTTTTGCGTGTTCTTGCGTTACAAATTGAGCCATAAAAGGCGCTGAGTTGATTCCAAATACGAGCCGATTAAACTGAAATACCTCCTTTATGTATTCCAATTTTAAATACATTTCTGCTATATCGCAAGCTAAAGCCACTGGGTATTTTCGAAATCTCAGCAAAACAGTCACAAGGTCTTGTTGAAGTTTTGGACCTTGATAAATAACATCATTAATTGATTTACAATTATATTTTGCAGATCCATCAAACACAATTCTGACTTTTGTAGTTGATTTATCAGGATGAAGAATTGGAAAATGTGGTAAGTACCAACCATCTCCAAGATCCCTTTTATTGATTTTCTCCAAGTATCCCTTTTCTTGATACTGCTTAATAATGTTATTGTATTCTTCTCCTAGACTTTTGTTTTTCATTAGCCGTTTTTCCGTATTTTGTAATCTGTTTAACGCCATTGTATAATTATTGTCTAAATGTCTATTACCTTTCCATGGTAATTTTATCTCATATCTTCCGTTCTCAGTTTTTAGCAAATTTTTCTGGACTTGTCATTGTTTTTCTGAATTGCATTTCTTTGTCACCTTCAATTTCCCATAATTTTTTAATGGTGTTGTTTGCATCTTCTATTTCCTTTCTACTAGAAGTTATTTTCGTAAAATGGGTTTAAAGAGATCCACCAGTACCACCAACACATGTCCATCCGAGCGGTGTGAGTCGAGCCACTGGTTTATTAAATCCTCCTTTTACTTCCTTAATTGCACAGCAGCTCAGCGTAATCCACACCAATTAGAATGTCAATTTTTGGTTTTGGTTCAATATTTTGGAATTCGATTTTTCTTAGATGTTTCCAACTTTTTGACATATTTGCCAAATTAACTGCTTTTAAGTTTTTCCAGTTACATTATTAACTGTAAAAGCTTCCACTGTAATTTTTGTTTCTCCATTCAACGATTCCAACTGAAATTCTACCGGCATTGTTTCAAAAGAATCAATTTATCCATTTATCATGTTTACAGTTACCTTTTTGGTTTTACTTTGCAGTGACTATTCAGCCGCTACATCAGAGTTCAAATATATGTCTTGGTACTTCCATCGTCAAGCAATGCGTTTATCTTCATACTGGTTATTACTTTTTTGAGTACTTAACCATTGATAACATTGCTTTTTTGTTTCCATTTTAAGTTCTTTTTCAATCCTTTGTTGTTTTAAACTTGATTTTAAACTTTCATTGCATAATATCCATTCATTTACATGTTCCATGATTTCTGTAAATTCGTCGTTTAGTTTTTCAATTTCTGTATTGAGTTTTCCTACATTTTCTTTTGATTCCAGAAGTTCGTATTTCTTTGATAATTCAACCATTATCTCGAGAGCTTCGTTTTGAGTCTTTGTTAATTGATTACTCAATTCGCGTAACTCATTTTTACATGTGGGTTCATCGTCTCCAATTTGCTGAATAGTTTGATGTTTAGTTTGCGTAAACGAAGACTTTAGAACTATTTTCTTCCTGTTCAATGCAGATACTTCATTTTGAACGGTTAACTGATCTTCCATTTGGTTATTTGATTTTGATTTTTTCTTTTTACCATGCTTCCGTGTTGAAGAAACTACCCTCTGCTACCAATTATGATCCGATGGCGATCACAAATAATACCGAATATGTATTATAACTTATATTTTTAAGATCTTAACCGTTTTTACATTAACTATATTACTTATATTCTTTTTATTTTTGTATCTGACAAACAACAACAACAAAACTCTATTTATACAAAAATTTTGTTCAATAACAAAAAAACACTATTGTTCAAATAGTCGCCACATTATTGTTATTTAGTTCAATATAACCAGTAAATAGTAATATATATATATATATATATATATATATATATATATATATATATATATATATATATATATATATATATATATATATATATATATATATATATATATATATATATATATATATATATATATATGTCTGCTTTTCTAAACTGATTATTAACAACATTTTAATTTTTAGGTTTTCCCATATGAAAAAAATGTTTCCAAAGTACTTGCTGATATTAGCATTATTGACACATTCACATTTTCCAGTATTCTTCATGCTATATCTTACACTTTAAATGATCATTCAGATATTTTGAAAATGTTGAACTCAGAAGCTGTTGACAATTTAACTGGTTTTACCAATGTAAATGATGAAATGGTGCAACAGAAAGAATATATGGTGGTTCAACTGCAAAATGTAGGTTGTATTTATTTTTATTATCAACTTTAAAATATTTTTTCTTTTTCTTTTATATTTATTTTAAAGTTTCTTTTAATTAGTAAAGTTAGTCATAATAATTATTAAATACGTTTTAATTGTATAATAAATAATATTAAATAAATTTTTGTTTTAACTTTTAAAAAAATTTTTTGATTTATGTTAATTGTTTTTGTTTTAATTTTTTTTATTTATAAAATTTACAAATTATAAGTTTATAAATTTTATAAAATATTTAATTTTCATATATTTAATACTTAATGCCTCTTTCATAGCTTCTTTGACAAGAGAATTAAAAACCGCCTTAACCTGTAATAAGAGCATGAAATAAAATAAACAATGTAGGAATAAATAAAATAAATAAATAAAATAAATGTAGGATATCTCAAATTGTAAGGATACCTCTTCTTTATCATGAAATTATTAAAACTTAATATTTTAAAAAGACTGTGTTTTTTTTTAAACAATTTTAATTTAACTATTTATTTTAAAATATATATTTTTATATAGGGTTGTTTCCACACCTACGGTGAGTTGACACTTATCGTAGGTTTTACATACTAACATAAATTTTGTAAAAAGTAGTAATTTATATATATATATATATTTTGTGTATTAACAACATCGTCATGCACTTCTATTACAATACATAGAAACCGCAATACGTAGTTACTTATATAAAATCAGTGGGTTTATTTTGTCAGCCTATGAAAATACTTATTTTTTAAGTACCAGCTGTTAGAAACGTTTCAAATAAAACAAGGAAATTTAAGAAGATAACATAAAATTTTATTTCTAAATTGACTTAATCAGGTAAATAAAACTTGATCATTATTAATATTATTAAAACAACTCATCATTTTAGTATCAATGTAGTATTTTTGAATGTACAATAGGTATGAACTAAAAAAAATATCATTCATACATATTGTATGTCCAATAAATATTCAATTTTGTTTCTTATTTACTATAAAAAGAAGTATTATTTTACTTAAATTCATTTACAATGGCAAGATAAAATTATAAAATAAAATATTGTAGCTCAAAACAAAGACTTCAATATACTGATAGTCAATTACGTAATGCTAAAAATGCTGTTAAAAAAGGCATAATTGTCATAAACAGCTCAAAAACGATGTGAATACTTAAACTGAGCTAAAGGAGTAACTGAAAAAGCAAAAAGAAATTGGTTTACTGAAATTCTGAAGCTTTTAGGAGAAAACGCTTAATATTTAAATGATTCGATGTGCGTTTTCAATATGGATGAGAGTGATTTTTAGTTGTCACCAAAAACTAATTTATTAATTGATGAACGAGGAAAAAATACATATGAAGAAACTGTTCGAAATAATAAAAAAAACATCACCACTTTATTTGCAGTAAATGCTAGCGGAACTTTTGCACCATCATTAAAAATTTTTAAATAAGTTGTCTTCCAAATAGAACTATAAATGCTGCTCCATTAGGATGGGGTATTGGAAAAAGTGAAAATGGTTAGATAAACGCTAAATGTTTTTTTGAGTATATTAGAAATGTTTTTCATCCATTTTTCATAAAAGAAGAAGTTCCTTTACCAGTTATTATTTATTTTGATGGTCATGCGTCAAATTTTTTCTATGGAAAAAGGGAGTTTTGCTCTAAAAATATTAAAATATTAAAAATTTACAATAGAAAGTCAACATTCTTCTGGAAGACCAGCTTCTTTGTATTTTTGAGCTTTGCTTTTAGAAGTGATGAAGGGGTCTGATGAGCAGAGCAATCTTCTCATTACTTGAAAATTTTCAACATCTTTATTTCTGCTTTCCTGACCTTCTTCAGTTTTTTTTTTAAATTTCAATTCACCTATCTAATGCCAAGAAGGCCACCACAGTCAAGGAGGCTACTTTAGTTATTGTTACAACCATCTCTTTTCTCTATAACTCTAAAATACCAAACTTGGCAAACAAGGCCACCGTGTGGAGAAATAGTTTGATTGCAGTCAGGGATGCGAAGTTCCATTGATATTTCGGGACTCCGGGACTCTGGACTCCGATGACAAAAATCGTGGATTCCATGGACTCCGAATCTGGACTCCGGAATTTTTTATTTTTTTCTTAATTAAATGTAATTTTTTTTATCTGGAATTTTTATGTGAAAATGCCGGAAAATTGATAGGCTACTATTAATATCGCAGAGCCCCGCGGAAAAGCAGTTAACAGGAAATTCAGACCTCCTTTCTAACCAATGTCGCAAAATTTGCCTAAATAGGGTTTGAATCACGGATCCCTTGTTTTTTAGGCAAGTGCACTACCACTGCGCCACGGTTGCTTAAACCCAGAAGTTAATTTGTCCCGTATTTGCTGGATAGTAAAATTAATAAAAATAAATAAAACTCCAAAGAGAACTTTTATTTGATTTGTCTTGTCACACGCACAGATTTATCAATTTCTCAGATTATTTTAAACCATATGATCATAAAATTATAAAAAGATTAAAACTTATATTTTCATTAACTACGCGCTAAATTATAAAGTTACAAGAAAACATTATTGCAATATCTACATCAAAAATATTCAAATAAAAAATTTGTTTGTTCGTAAAAAAAGCATATCGTCAATTAACTCAGATGTAAATCGACTACGATGGTCTGGAGTCATGTGCTTTAAGACTGAAAATAGTCGCTCAACACTGACTTGGGATATGGGTAGCGACAAAGCGACTCCGCAGGCATGCCGTAAAACTTCTGGAAACCGCTCAATTGCTTTTAATGGGTTAAGTTTTAAAAACTCGTCTAAGTTGGGGGAGTTGTCTTTAAACATTGAGCAAATTTCCGGAATCGTTTTTAGGGCTTGTCGAAACTCCATTTCTATTACATTTAGCTGAATCTGCATTTGTTCTTCTGAAGAATTCTCTTCAATCTCCTGTTCACACAGCATAAATAAATTTGGTGGTCGCTTTGCGACTGGTGAAGCATTTTCCTCATTTTCTGAACTAGAGTCTGCAATATGAACTGTTAAAGAGTTGGACGCTATTGTATTTTTGGTTTTGTTCAGTTCATCATTCTTATTTTTATTAGCCAGTTGAATCAGTTTGTAATTAATTTTCCAAAGTCCATCAGCTGCAGCTATCTATAGAAACATTTATAGTTTTTTGAATATATACTTTTTAAAGTTAAATAAATAAAATGTATATATATAAATAAAATTTTATTGAAAAAAGCAACCTTGTCTTCAGTTGCTGTCAGCATACAGCCATGCCTAATATCCACGTAAACTGCTGCAAGAAACAACGAATTTTCGCGTAGTGCGCTCTCTCTATTATCCATTCCTTTCAGGAAAGTCGCTGTCCTTCCCGTCTAGTTCACACTTTATTGAATTCCAATCAAAAAGGAATTCACCTGCTGTGATGTTTTCACGCTGAAGACGAATAGTAAGATCGCGTGCCATTTGCAATATATCTCTCAATTCCTCCCACATTCCCCAAAGATATGGTTGCACATTAAATTCTTTTGGAGCTTCTTTTTGCATATTCAAATTTTGAATTACTGGTCGAATCTGGAAGAACAGAAAAATTCATTAAATATATGTACAATGTTATTAACTACTTAAATGAAGAGGATTATTAAAGAAATATTTTCATAAACGTAAATTTAAAAATTATTAAGTAATGTAAATGTCATTAATATTGAAATAATTGGATTTATATTATACCGGTTGGAAAAAAAAAAGAAAAAATACCGGTTGATAAAAAAATAAAATTAGTTTTATAAATAAACTTTATTCAAAACATTTTAAGTTTTAATTAAAGTTAAAAAAATTAATTAAGGTAAGTTATAAGTTATAACTTACCTTAATTAGCCTCTCAATCATATTGAACTGGCTAGACCAACGGGTAGCCTGATCTAAAATTGGAACAAGATGTGTAACTTGGTCCCTGAAGAAGTCAATCCACTTAGAATTTCTTGCAGTTTTCACAACTTCTCTCGCATGACTAATAAGATTTTTTATTGTGGGCCTCTTCAATGCATCATTCACGGCTAACTGTAAAAAGTGGACAGCACATCTTTGAAGATGTATAACACTCATGCTACCGGCAACTATACTTGCCAAGACTGCTGCTGCATTGTCCGCTGTAGAATTACCATTTTCGTCAAACTCATCAGTTTCTACTGAAAAATCGCCTTCGTCATCGTCAATTTCCTCAATGGCGCTGATGGAGAAGTCGCGCACCAACTTTATATTCACCTAAATATATTAAATACAATTTCAATAGTTAATTTAAAATTTAGTGAATATACGTTACAGTATATAAAAGATTTTATTGACATTTTAACAAACATCAAAACAGTTTATTTTTTTAATGATTTTATTCACTGAAAATATTGATTTTAATCATTGAATTTACACTTTTTCTTCATTTAAAAACAATATAGTTGAATTTCAAAATATGATACTTACTGCCGCCTCAACACTGAGGCCTAAAATATTAGTTTTATTGATTCCAAACTTATCTAAACACTTTTCAATAATTTTTTTAGTGTATTCTGCCGTTTGTTTTCCCTTCGTATCAATGGTGCCAAGATTGATCACAACAATTTCATCATTGCTCGAGTATTGCGCATTTATACCAAGGTAGTGGCGCATATGCCTTGATGTAGAATCGACTTTTAAAAAAATTAACATTTTCGTTATTTTATTTTTGATTTGTTCACGATGCTTTTTGGCAAGATGGCTAATTTGAATTTTCATATTATCTCTATTTATTTTAAATCCATAATGAGATGCAACTTTTCCGCAAAGCTTTTGAATAGGTTCTTGATCAAACGCCTATAGAATTTGTTTTTAGAATAATAAATTTTTTTTTAAAATTCGCAAAAAAAACATAATTTTTTAAAAATGTAATGCAGCTAAGACTTTTTTTGAAATTAAAAAATAAATATTAAAGAAAAAAAAATTTGAACCTGGAATGAAAGTCCTTCAACCAAAACCAGCTTGTTTAAGGCTTCTAAAAATTCATCTTTTGCTATATGCAAGTTAATTTGCTGCGGTACAAAACACTTTAATATGGATTGCTGTGAACTACTGCCTTTGATGACTATATTTTTTTGGTTCTTATTCTTTTCTTTTTTTTTTCTAACTTTTTGAGGAGCTCCGCGTGTTTTCTAGATAAGTGTCGTATAAGGTTGCTAATGCGAGCTTTTGCGGCACATGTAATTTCTTTACCGCATAACTTGTTACTTTTATTTTTTTCTGGTACAAGACATTTAAAGCATACTACTTTACATCCATTCAAAATTTTATTTGTGTGATGAAAATGTTTGTAGATTGTATCTGATGCATAGTTAGTGGCCATTACTGGTCGAGATTGTTGCACACAAATATAAAGAAAGAATGTTGTTATTGCAAGTTATTGTGAACTTGTAAAGTATTTGCTTTCTGTTATATATGCTTCACAAAATTAATTATTTTTATAACAACCCACGAAAACATAGTTAAGAAAATCGTTAACATGACTAGTTATGAATTGACGACGCTGTTAAAAAAAATTTTGTAACATGTTTCCTGGTATTATTTCTAATATGTCGAATTAAATTAATAAGATTTAGGAAAACGCATTAAAACTAAAAGCAAGTTTTTTCGTAAAAAGAGTTGTTGCGCAAAAGAATTATTATTTATTGGCCAAGATATTTTTATAAGCATCTTTGGGCTTCATTATGACATAGTTAGTAGGTTTTTTACCGATTGTCTAGCTCGTTAGTTTGACTTTATAGCGCAAACTTACAGACAAATTTGGTTTTTTATTGCATGTCATTAATTTGTTAGTTAAATTTGGTAGCTTTCGTATCTAAACCATAACGCTTTCATTGCAATTTTTCAGAAGGCGTTATTAAAATTAGAATTTTCATTTTGTTAGCAATGTACAAAATGAACATAATTAGCCATAATATATTCCATGACTAACGTGTTTGTTAAACTTTATAAGTTATAGAATAAGAAAATGTTGAATTATACGCATTATTTTCGGCAAGCTACATAGTTTGTGTTCTTACAAGTTAAAAAACAATATACGCTACTATGTTTTTATATAAAATAGTTTTATTGCACTTTTTAAAAGTTTTCTTTATTCTCTTAACAAGCATTTGTCGTGTGACGTTTCGCATATCGCCATTTGTTCGTCCTCAAATTTAAAATGTTATCTAAAAAATAACTGCATATAAGTAGGGAATTACGAACCGTACTTAATCTGGCCAAATGAACGAAATTGGTAAGGAAGGAGGTGAACTTCCAGGTTAAGTGTTCTTCTGCAGTGCTTTGTGACAAGACCATCAGGTTTTTTTTTAAGCATATAAATAACTAAAAAAAAAAAAAAAGAGTCTCGGAGTCCTAAAATTGTTATGGACTCCCAAGACTCCGGACTCCAGGCTAAAAAAGGGACTCCATGGACTCCAACTCCGGACTCCGACTCCGGACTCTGCATCCCTGATTGCAGTACTACCAAGGTTGTGGTGGGGATCAAACTCATAACCTCTCACTTATGAGGCACACGCTCTACCACTACACCATTACCCAAATACATATGTCTAAAGATAAGAGGTCTATGGGAATCGGCTTGTTTCTTACAACCTGATGTGAATGATTAATATCCTCAACAATCCTTTTTGTTTAACCTTTCAAAGTTAATAACGTTTTGGGATTTAATACGCAAATATTGCAAACTTGGTTAGAATCATATAATGGAGAAAGAAGAGTGGAAACTTTCCCATCAATTATAGTACAATCTAACTTGTGCTTGACTTAAAATGAGTCTATTGTTGTTGAGTTGAGCTCAGTTGACATAAAAAAAATCATATTCTGCTTTAACAGTTTGCTGATTTTCTTATATACATATTGCATTCAAACAAAGTGACAATATTGGGTTAAGGATTTTTTTGGTGTTAGTCCATAGAACAACATCAGTTTCATGTACTTTTAGTTGCACAGGTACTGTACACGATAGAAACTAAGATTCTTCATCTGGAACTAACCATCTGTCCTCTTCATATCCAGTCTCGATTTATAAACTGATTGTCCAGTTGAACCATCAAATCCGACTTTGCTTTTAAGAAGAAGAGTATTATAAAACTCAGGAAATGTGGAATCCAAATCCTGTTTGCCGTGTGATCCAACATTCCTTGAAGATTCACAGAAGCACTGTAGTTTGAGGTAATAATTTTGTAATCTGGATTACAATTAACAATATAACTAAATGAGAATACAACATTTATATCTTTGACAAATAGTTTGATAGTCAGCCCTTCTCATTCTACAGTCTAAGATTAGAGCTAAAACTAATTCTGCTGAGTACATTTTAGAGCATGATATATTACAGGACCCATCAAATTCACTTTCCATCAAATGTTTAAAAACTTGGACATCTTTTATTTGTCTTTTGTTAAAATTAAGAATAAGCATCTCTTAGAGCTAGCGTCTCTTGTGCCATCTATTAAAATTCATTCTTGTGTTACTCATCATTCAATTAAGTCTCATCCTTTTTCTGTTACTGTTCCTAAGTGCTCCAAAAACTCTTATTCATCTAGTTTTATTCCTCGAACATCAGTTCTTTGAAATTCACTTTTTTTATCTTGCTTTCCTGATTCATATAATTTGCAATCCTTTAAGTTGTCTGTCAACCATTATCTTGCTCTACAATCTTCATCTTTTCTCTTCCAGTAACTTCCAACACTAATTAGTTGTTGCTTGCAGCCTTGTTGGAAGCAAAGATGTTTCAAAAAAAAAAAAAATACATAAAACAGGCTTTTTTTTCTTTTCTTATACTTTATTGAGAGATCTTCAAATGATTTTGATGGTGCACCATGTTAATAATTTCCTATTTAACAATTTCTCATAACAGTTTATAAATCTCACTTTTTGTCCATTTATTCTTTTTAAAGTATTTAATTTTTAATGCTTAATTTTGCATTAAAAATGCATTGAAAAATAAATATACAAATTCAATTTTTGATTCCTCGCAAATCAAATTTACTTATTTTCATATTTTTTTTTAAACAATTAATCAAAAATGAATTTGTTCTTCATATTAAAACTTGGTCTCAAAACTATTACAAATTATTTTTAGTGGATGTTCTTCATTTTGTTTTATCCAAGGTCAAACTTTTATCTGCTATTATTCTACAATATTTTGCTATTTATTTTCACTCGTACCAAAAAAGATCTTGGAATTACAATATCATCAAATCTGAAATAGAAAAAGTAACATAACCAATTGTGCATCAAAAGCTTATTCAAAGCTTGGAACTTTGAAAAAAATATTTCATTACATCAACAAAAAATGTTTAAAATACTATATGTAACATTTATAAGACCCTATCTTGAATTTGCAATACATGCATGGTGCTCATACCATAAAAGTGATATAACGCATATTTTATATAATGAAAAAGGTGAATGTTACTAAATGGATACCTTAGATTTGAAAACAAAATTGTGAAACATATACAGTTATATATATTTTTAAACTCTCCTTAAATAATATTCAAAATAATTGCAGACCTTGAAAATTTAAATTTGATCTACACATATCACATATAATTCAATTTTTTCTATTAAAAAACAAAAAGAAAGGTTTCTATTAAAGAACAAAAATTTTTTGTATTATAAAAATAATTTGTGGTCCTTGACCACTGTGGATTGGGTTGGGTAAAAATCTTCTTTTTCACTCTTTGTTTTTGCTTTATTTCTGAAAAAGTTTTTTTAGAAATCTTTTTTCAGAAAAATGTTATTTCAAAAAAAAGAGAGAGCTTTAGCTCTCGCTCTTGCCCACACTCCCCTTAAACGGTTTACGGGAGCAATTTACGGCTCTCGCAAAAGTATAATTTTTTTTACGAAAGTATAATTATCGTTGAAACTAAAATAAAAACACAATTTCATTTTAAAAAAATTAGTTGCATAATATTCTGCAATGCTTTTTAAAAAGCACAATTGTTGCAAAAAAAAGATTAAATATAAAAAAGAGCGCTGATTTAAATGAGGAGCAGCTCGCACAGCTCACAAGTTCGTTTTAGAAGAGCTTTTCTCCGCTCTCTTGCTCATTTATTCCTGCCGAGGCCTGTATGTATATATGTATGTATTTATGTATGTATATATGTAGCTCGCTTATGAGAGCTTGCTTATGAGAGCTCTTGCCTCATGAGCGAGAAGTTCCATGTTCGAAAGCCTTCTTGGGCAGGTGAATTTTCATTTTAAAAAAAATATATTTATATAAAAGTGCACTAATGAGCTAAACTTTACTTCCTGTATTGTCAATGAAAAATATATGTATTTATATAAACTTTACTTTTTAAATGTATGTATGTATTTATATAAACTTTACTTTTTAAATGCATGTATGTATTTATATAAACTTTACTTTTTAAATGTATTTATGTATTTATATAAACTTAACTTTTTCATTGTATGTATGTATTTATATAAACTTTACTTTTTCAATGTATGTATGTATTTATATAAACTTTACTTTTTAAATGTATGTACTTTTTAATTTGCAGCAAAATCAGTTGCTCTTTAATTTAGGAATTTTTTAACATTTAGTTAACATTTGCTTGAATGTTTGTTATTTGTTAAATGTTTGTTATTGTAGTAAGTTTTCTAGATCAACGAAACCTAGAATTTTTGTCGAATCATTAAAAAAAATCCAAGTATTGATATTGTTGAATGAATTTTTTGCTTTAGGCTTTTACAATAAAATAATTTTTTTCCACAAATCTAAAAAATATGCCAATTTTTCAAGTCTTAACAATACAAAAATTCAATAAGCTTTTGTCTAATACTTAAGTAAATTTCAAAGCATTGATGTTTGAGGATATTGTATTTCATGCACCTAATTTATGGAGGATCCTAAATTTGTTTAATCTGCGCATGCTTATCGACGGAAAGCGAATTTTTCGTCTTGTGGAAAACGACCTTTACTTTTTATTTTTCCATAACCCTGACAGATCAACATGAATGTGAGTCTATTAGCATAAAACATCACAACAATTAATTAAATAGCAGAACTAGTAGTGTCACTTCATTGACAAAATGAAGTGTCAATGAAGTGACACTTCATTTTGTCAATTGAAGTTTGCATTCACCACTGTCCTTGGTGAATGCAAACTTCAGGTTATTTAATAAAACAGAAACAATTACAATTAAAAATTAATTAAAAAATAAAAAAAGGAGAAAACCATGGGATAGAGTGAGGCATGACACTGCAAGAAGGAATAAAAGCAAAAGATATTTTTTTCATTACAGTCATTTTGAATTTTGAATCCTGCCAAAAGTAAATAACAAAGGCATTCCAAGTCAACTTTAAAGGGATCCCCAACTGCCGAGACAAGTTATGATCATATTAAAGAAAATGTTTAAAAAAAACATTTGGGCTAAAATTTTTTGATTAAAACTATATAATGAATGCCCACCATTAAATTCAAAATTCACGTTTTAGTTGAAGCTTGTCGTCTCCATTTTTTTTTGGTTCTTAAAGTCTGTATAATGTTAGCCGCAATCTGCAGACTTGATAATTTATTCCATGCGTGTTTAATTCATAACAGTTTTGGTATATGATGTCATCGTATAAGTTTTTTCTTTCAAGATGTCGTATTATTTTTTTGCCAAAAACTTTTTACTAAATCCCAAAAAGAGTTTATGATGCAATTAAAAGTTAAGTTTATAAAATTTTCCAAAATAAAATTTAATATATAACGACTATTTACAGTAAACGTATTAATATTTTTTTATATTTTAGTACAAATATTTGTTTTTACTTTAATTCAAACTAAATTAAAGTAAAAACAAATATTTGTACTAAAATATACAAGAAATAGTTATAATATAAATATAAAAACAAAGAATTGCATTAAATTGTTTGCTACCAGTCGAACAAAAATTTTTTTTTAGCAACCGCACATATTTTTGAATAACGTTTGAATAGCATAGCATTGACAATTAATTAAAATTTGATAATAATAAAGTTTTTAACATGCTTTATTAAACATAAGAAATCCAAAGTGCTTACAAACTTAATTTAATGAATAAAAATAATACTTTTTCTTCAAAATACTTTGGTAATTACTTAACAAAATATTTATCACTTCTACAAGGTAATTTACAGTGTTAGCGCTGTTTTATTTTATAATTAAATTTATAGTTTTTTTTATGAAGGATTATTCAAGATTTTTTAAATTCGTGATAATTTTTTTATAACTACACAATATAGCTCTTATTTTTTCTTGATTATGTAGAGAATTAATTAAACCTTCAAAACAAACAAATTCTATGTGTCTAGAATGGAAATTTATGTACAAAACAAGATAAATTGTAAAGCATACTTGAAAGCCGCTACCAGTGGCTTGTGGTAGTGAAAGAGTTAAACTATAACTAAATGTAAATTAAACAAACGAATAACTCTATTGAACCATATAAACTAAATATAAAACGAAAAACCGCATTATACTGCCTTTATTTTTTCTCTGCCTGCAAACTCTAATAATCACAAAATATGTATATTTGTGTCATGATTTTGGCTGGCTTCTACAACAAAGTAATAATAAAACAAGTAAAAAAAAATAGTTCAGTAAAAACACTTATCTAATTTTTGTGCTCTTCAACAGAATGTTTCACCATCAGAATTTTTGTGCTTTTCAACAGAATGTTTGTCAGTAGGTTCATCAGGAAGGATTCTTCCTGATGAACCTACTGATGGTGAAACATTCTGTTAAAGAGCACAAAAATTAGATAAGTGTTTTTACTAAACTTTATATATATATATATATATATATATATATATATATATATATATATATACATATATATATATATATATATATACATATATATATATATATATATATATATATATATATATATATATATATATATATATATATATATATATATATATATATATGTATGTATATATATATATAAATATATATATATATATATATATATATATATATATATATATATATATATATATATATATATATATATATGTATATATATATATGTATATATATATATATATATATATATATATATATGTATATATGTATATATATATATATATATATATATATATATATATATATATATATATATATATATATATATATATATATATATATATATATATATATATGTATATATACAGGCCTCGGCGGGAACAAATGAGCACGAGAGCTGAGAAAAGCTCTCCTAAAACGAATTTGGGGAGCTGTGCGAGCTGCATTTAAATTAGCACTCTTTTGTAATTTTAATTATACCTTCATGAGAAAAATTATACTTTTGCGAGAGCCGTAAATTGCTCCTGTAAACTGTTTTAGGGGAGTGTGGGCGAGAGCGAGAGCTAAAGCTCTCGCTTCCCGCCGAGGCTTGTATATATATATATATTGTTCTTTTTATTGATATTTAATTTTTATTTAATTCATTGATATCAAAACTTTTTTTCTGCTTTTGATTATTTATTTTCTGTGACACCAACAAAAGTTAAGTCTTAGTTACCAGCAAACGATGAAACCACATAGAACTTTTTATTATAAAGTTAAATTAATAAAACTGTCGCATCCGGTTGCGAGTGCGGCTTCCCTCACAAAAATATTTTACATCATCATATTGTTTTTTTTAAACTTTTAGTTTGCAAACAAAACTTTTTCCATTTTTTAGTGTTTTAAAAAACAAGGAATTTCTTTTTCTTTCTTTTTTTTATGCAGCAAGTATTCTTTACACCCCATTATTGTGTCCACCATTGTTTTTTACACCCCATTACTGTGCCCACCATAGTTTTTTGATCAAAAAATGTTATTTATTTAAAAACCTTAAGTTATTCATATTTCGTTACTACTTAGCTGTTATAATTTATAAAATGTTATAATATATAAAATGTATATATAAAAAATATATAATTTATTGCTCATTCTTTAATGTTATTTTCAGCTTTTTTTTTAATTTTTGAACAATGAAAGTTACAGGTTTATATACCAATAAAACAACTGTGCCTCAAAAAATAAGTTTTTTTAACTTTGGATGTGTTAAGAGATTCAAGATACCAAAACTTTTATTTTAAGAAAAAAAAAATTTCTTATTTTTTAAAATTAGGTTCGCACCAATATTGTTGACTTGCTTCATTCAGCACCGCTGAAAGATTTAGTTGATATAAAAGATGTTGGTGATGTTTTAGCAACTGTTTTACATGTCCCAGAGGAATTGACGCTTGAGACAAAGGTATTTTTTTTTTTATTATTATTTTTTTTTTTCTATTTTTTTTTCCGTCTTTTTAGTAAATAAAAACTATGACTATCTGATAGTAAATTCTATATATTATCAAAGTTTGTGGATTTGGTAATAATTGTAGGGGAAACTGGTGCAAAATGGTTATTTACAAATATACTATCCATTCATTTATTTAACCAAAAATTGAAAATTAAAATTTTTTATAATTTTACAAAATTAGGTTATGTGTCACTCATATAGTTAAAAAATAGTCACCAGACTGATATTTAAATAAAATAAACAAACAAAAAATTCAACAATATTAATAAATAAAAGCAACAATAACAAAACAACAATATTAATGAATAAAACCTAGCATAAATTAAATTCATTTAAAAAATGATTAAGCTATAATAAATGAAATAAAAAGACAAAAAAATATGGAAACACTCAATAAATAACAATAAAAAATAGTTAGCAACAACAGCACAAATAATAACAAACTTTACGCAAATGAAAAGACAAACACAAAAACTACAAAACAAAAACAAAATTACATAACAAAAAGGCAAACACAAAAACTTCTACAAAATAAAATAAATTATATTTGTTATTCTTGGCGGAATTATTTTTGTTTTAGTTCTTTTTATTATTTTTTCAAACATTTTTTGAACATCTTTTTTCTTTTAACTTGTTACTTTGCTTTTAATTGATTGTTTTTGTTTTATTTTATTAAATCTGTTGTTCGTTTTACATTTTTATTATTTCTTTAATCTTTTAGTTCGTTTATACCTTTAATATTTTTGTTATTTTATTTTATTTTCAACTTATTTTTTTTTTTTTTTAAATAGTTTCTTTCCTTTTTCTTTTTTCTTTTTTCCTTTTCACCGTTAAATAAATGCTTCTGCCATTTGTCATTGCAAAGTGTAAAAATATATCTTGTTCTGAGTGTAGAAACAACTAAATAGTAATTGATTTTGAATTATCATGTGACAAAATGCCACCATCAGTTGCATAAGTTTAAAATTTTAGCAAAATTTGTCTCGACTAATTAAATATGACTTGAAATGAACTTTGATGTGATTTAATCGTGTCATATTATTTGATACAGAGCTTTATTATTTCATGCAATATGAAATATAAGGCATAATGGGTTATTCCGATATTTTGCCCCAAGTGTTTTTAAATAAATTGTAGATTAATTATATGTGATATTTTTATGAAAATAAAATATATGCATGAATATGTGTGTATTTATATTAATATACATTTATGCATATTATGTGTGTGTGTGTGTGTGTGTGTGTGTGTGTGTGTGTGTGTGTGTGTGTGTGTGTGTGTGTGTGTGTGTGAAAGATACTGATATTAAAAAAGTAAGTTTTCACATTTATTTATTGATATCAGTTTTTTATCTAAATTACTGTTGACTGTGATTTGTGTATAAGCTTTTTCTCCTTAAAATAAATCTCTGTTTATTCTGAACATCTGAATAAACATCATATTCTGAATATATATATATATATATATATATATATATATATATATATATATATATATATATATATATATATATATATATCAACCTTCTGAATGTTGATATATATATATCAACCCTCGGAATTAAGAAAAATGTTGTCAGCAATAATTTGTCGACCTCAAACTGTTAGGTTGGCATCAGGTTGGAAAAAAAAAATTATATAAAAGGGTTACTATAAAACATAAAAACGTGGTTGGCGATTAATTGCTGACTTCAAACACTTATAAGCTGGTAGTTAGGTTGACATTGCTTAGAGTTTGGTTGCATCTTTATATTACTGTTTACTTTGGCAAATGTTAATAATCATTATAGGTAGAAGTAGTAAAGAAATCAAATCAAGTATATTTTTTTTATTTTTTTATATTGTTATATTATAGTTTTTTTTTTTCATTATTATTAGTATACTATTTATAATTATGATTATAATTCATACTTTTTTTTAACTATATTTATTCTGTTTAATATTATTCTTTATTTCTTAATCATAAGAATCAATTTTTTTTTATGACTTTGGTTTAAGGCTTCGATCTGCTTAGATCTTCTTAATTTCATTTGTATAGCGTTACGTACAAACGTATGCAAATGTAAACGTCTTTAGCATATGTTGAGTTTGCAGGCATGGAATAATCGCGTATATCTATATATCTATAAAATGAGAAAACTTGAAAATTTTATTTTAAATTTTAGAAATCTTTGTTTTTACCTTATTATTTTTTTGCTATGAATATATAAGTGAATATATATAAGCAAAATTAAAAAAAATTTCAAAATTCACTACACTAAGAGGAGGTCTTAAACCCTCCAAAACAACACTAATGACAGCGCATTTAACCACTGAGCTATCAATGAAATGCATTTAGCAGAAAAAAAAACCTAATTATAAGTATCTTATAAGCTCTACGTATGCGGAAAAGGTGCGCATGTTAAGTTTTTTGCTTTTTAATTTTTTTTCAAAATAAATTCTTTTACTAAAAAACATTGAAGTAAGGAATATAGAAATAATTGGCAAAGAATAGAAATGTTAATTGGTGAAGATCTGTATTTTATTTAAAAATTTTGGCATATAAAATTCGCTGAATGGTCACACATGAGCAGTGAACGCCTGAGGGAAGAAATGAAGTACATTAGAATAAAGGAGAATTATTTATTAGACAAAGCATATTTTGACAGTTGTTAAGACGAAAATAAAGATTAATAGAGGAATATTTAAAAATAAATAAGACAAGCTATACACCCACAGCAATAATAACAACAAAAATAAATTAAAAAAAAAAAAATTGTTTTATAAACACCAATATGAACGAAGATATACATCACCAGACAAAAACTTATAAAACAAAAAATCGATCGCAAAATAAAAAATATACTAACAACAATGAAAGGCATTTAATAATGGAAAAAAAAAACATTAATGCTAATATGTAAACATAATTTGTGTAGTGATTAAGTAATAAACATCTCCTCAGAGTCGCGCCTATTATTACTGGCGTTTCAATGAGGATCAGCATTTATTTTTAAATATTCCTCTATTAATCTTTATTTTTGTCTTGACAACTGTCAAAATATGCTTTGTCTAATAAATAATTCTCCTTTATTCTAATGTACTTCATTTCTTCCCTCAGGCATTCACTGCTCGTGTGTGACCATTTAGAGAATTTTATATGCCAAAGTTTTTAAATAAAAAACATTGAAGTAAGGAATATAGAAATAATAGGCAAAGAATAAAAATGTTAATTGGTAAAGATCTGTATTTTACGAATCCAGATAAATAGAATAAATAGAAGCTCAGGGTTAGGGTCATAAATAATAGGTTGTAGAAAGGTATGCGATTTATAATAACGTTAAAAAATGAATGTTGACTTAATTCATTTTAAACTTAAATATTTTTTATTTTTCCACTCTATTTTCTACATGTTTAAACTTTTATATTATTATATAATCTTTTAATCTTCAATATTGAATTTTGATAGTATTTTTTATTTTAGACTAATGCAGTGGATATCATTACAAAAATGTCTTCTCTACTGACAGAAGAAAATATAAAAAGTATTGGCCCTCATATTTATGATCAGATTATGCAACCTTTTATTTTTTCAATCTCACACTTGTTTAGTGCAATAGCTAACTTGAATGATACTGTAAAATCAGTTGGTAAGTTTATAATAATAGTATACACACAGACACACACACACAGATATATATATATATATATATATATATATATATATATATATATATATATATATATATATATGTATATATATATATATATATATATATATATATATATATATATATATACATATATACATATATATATATATATATATATATATATATCAGACCTAGGATTCGCTCAGAAAATTTTGAGCGGCGCTCAATTTGTCGTTCAGCAGCTTTTTATGAACGACGCTCGCAAATCTGCTCATAAAATTTCCTGAGCGGGCGCTCCGCTCATTCGCTCACAAATCCGCTCATAAAAAAGTTTCAATAACTTTCCCAATATTTATTTATTGGCAGCCCGTTCACATCGTTTTAATTGTCAGTTGGTCACATAGTAGGAAGGAGTAACACGAATACACGACAGTAGTAAGATGAAGTAACACAAATACATGTTATACAATTATTAATTAAATAATAACTAATATGACAAATAGAATATTGTGAACCAAATTACATTGGTCAAAAGCTTTGACCAATGTAATTTGACCGCTTTTTCACGGTCGATGGAGTCTCATTCCAATCTTTGAAAATATTGTTGTTGATTTTGTATAAAGTCAACTTCTCAAAGGTGCTATCAGTCATTGATCCCCATTTAGCAGTGAAGATGAGTCCTCCAAAACTAAATGTTTGCTCGCAAGCTGCAGACGAGGGCAACGCAGTATTGTACTGCCTAAAAAATTATAAAACATTTAAGCCTTAATCAGTTCTTTTTGTGATTTATAGTGGATTTAAAAATGATTAAAATATACCTGAAAATCGATTTAATTGTCGGATATCTGTCTAGCTGAGATCGATCACCTTGCTCCTCATTGAAGTAACGATCCACCTCGTTAAGATCATTCGAGCTGCGTTTTTTGTAGGCATCCAAGAATCGCAGTCACTGCTTCGTAACACGATTTTCATCCGCAGTCCATCCGCTAAAGGTAGAACTGTCGGACCTTTATAGAAGATCAATACAAAGGTTTTAAATACTACGTTTTAATTTTTGAAAGAGCAGGACTCCATATTATAGGCTATTGAGAGAAATGGGCTACAATAATTTTACTTACAGAGAGCTCGCAGCTCGGAGAATTTCCTTTCTAGCAGTGACTTCACGTTTCAGAAGGCGGATGTCCAAATAACGCCCTTGTTCAGATACCCAAAGAAGTTTGAATTGAGGATCAGTGAGTGCAGCAAGGCGAAGTCTTGAGTCATGGAACATGTTGCCAAATCTCTTTTGCAAACCCCACAGCACGGCTTTAATGAGGCTTTTGCAATGGACGATCGATGGCATCTTTTCCATTCCTGATAACTCTTCTTTTAACAGCTGGATAGAAGACAGCAGACATCCAATTGAGACGTTTGATTCATTTTGAATAAGGTCTAAAACCTCAGACAAGGGTTTCATGATGATGGTGTACTCGATGACGTACTCAATCTCAGCCTGAGTGAATTTCTTGATGTCACCAAGGTCTTTGCAGAGCTTATCAAACGCATCGTTTTTGTTGACAAGGAAATCTCTGACCCGATCCACAGCATCGTAGTAGCCGTTCCATCGAGTGGCATTGTGAATAATAAATAATTTTCCCATAGTCAACTTGATAAGATCTGACTTCAAATAACTCCTGATTCCAAAATGATTGCAGATTGCCTGCAGTTTTCCATCTACTTTCCTTTTCAACTTTGTAAATGAGCTCAGATGGTCCTTGAAACAGACACAGTCTTTGGCCGCTACTAGGTTAAGTAGGTGGCATCCACATTTGAAATGAGGAGGATGGCCAATTTTGTCAGTTAAGGACTCGATGGAATTGTTGCTCTGGTTCAAAGCTTCTTCATCGCTATGTTCGGAATCAAGGTGTTGCCTTTTTTCTGGTACAGGAGGGCATGCAGGTCCAGCACTCAAAATCTTCAATATTTTAAAAAACTCCATTACCTTGCCTTCTTCAAACAAGAGATTCCAGTCGTCAGAATTATCAGAAGTCTCATCAAGTAGTTGCAATCCAAAAAAGTTAAATGCTTTCAGGAAGTTTGAGCCATTGTCCGTGATGGTGGCGACGACCTTTTTTTCAATGCCAAATTCGATGTGTATGTCTTTGATGGCGTTCGCTATTACATCATAGGCATAACTCTCTTTGGTTCGGCAAATGGCGAGCAAAGCACTCCGGTGGGTGAGACCATCAGACCATCAGTGGACAGTCATCCCGATGTAGCTTCTGCGATTTTTTGTCCAACAGTCAGCTGTGGTGCAGACGTATGAAACCTCTCCCAATGTTTCCTTCAGTAGCTTATTCTTTTCCTCGCACTCCTTGTCTAGTAGCTGTCGATAAAATTTTGGACTTCTGATCTCTAGGTTGTCAACCAGCAGCAGCAGCAAACTTCTTAAACCATCGTTGTGGACCGAAGAAAATGGCTGCATATCAACAGCAATATAATTCTGGAATACCAAATAAATAAATTACACTTTAGCATGGCAAATAAAGACTTATCAAATTGCAATTTACCAGCACATTGTGGTCCAATTACTTTTAAGTGATGGGCTGCTTGTTGACCTTCCTTTTAGTGTTCTTGACCACAAAGTGTGCATCCAGAGTAGACTGCTTTTTGTTGGATTGTCTTCCAGCCTCCACTGCTTTGTTAAAACTCAGCATTTCAACTCCAAGATCCTCACCATGATAATTCTAAATAAAAAATTCAAAATTGAGCATATACAACTACTCAGATTTTTCTCAAATGCACACCTTGATGTGCCTACGAAGATTTGAAAGAGAATATTTTGTCATGAAGATTGGCCGTAAGGCTCGGGAGGTGCGTTGACGTGGGCAGTTTTTCATGCGGCATTCAAACAAGAGTCCAGATTTCCCAGTTTTACTTGGCCCTATAAGTTTGAAGAACTCGGGTGGGACGTATGTTGATTTGATTTTTTCCTTTGTCTGCTGCCCATCATGCTTGTTAACGTCCATCTGTTCCTCTTCATCTTTAGATTCTTCGCTTTGAGAACTGAATTGACTTAAAAGATAAAAATATGTAAATTAGCATTGACATCTTTGGTTCTGGATAGCTAGTTTAGTAATTTGATGGAGCTTATTAGCGTATGCTTGCTCTGACAAGCAGCAAAGTAAACACGAGGTATGTTAACTTGAAAGTCGAAAACTGACATACTGTCAGAGTTAATAAAACTGATCCTAAATCACATAGATAAAATGTGGCAAAATGCCAAAATCTCCTGCCAGTGTCACTTTTAGATTAACAAATTAACAAGATCAATTGGACTTTTTAAATAAACTAATATAGTAACATACCTGCTGACTTGGATTTCATCAATGCATGATGCACCACTTGTACCTTCTTCAGCCATATCTAAATTTTTCTATTTTGTGAGCCAATGAGCAAAAGCAAAAATATTTACTATCGTACACTAACTTTTTTACTACTATTCTAAATAATGAAAAAGTAAAAGTCAATAATATGCAATGCCGGTCCGAAGGGGGGTGTAAAGATTGCCATGCACTGGGGCCCACATTTTCTCAATTTTTACGGGCCCCATCATTTTTCAAGATTATAAATAATAAAACTATTCTTTATTTAATAGTTTGAAAGACAATTTTTTTATTTATGATATTAAGTATTATATTGCAGTATTAACTTTTTTTATCAAACTGATTTTATGGTTTTGGAGCATAAACCAACGTTTCTGTGGGCACACTTGCAAAAGGCGTGGCCACACTTATTTCAAAGTTTTAAACCCACACTGGATTTCCAATAATGGCGATTTGTTGATGTTTTGCTGGAGTTTTTTCTTTTTAAAGGGCCTCAAACTTAATTTGCACCGGGGTACCCAAAATGTCACGGACCGGCTCTGATAATATGATATGATGAATGAAAATTTAAAATAAGCATTTTGTTTACTCATTTTTTTACTAAGCTTGTTCAAGCATTTCTAATTTCTTTTTTAAAGTATAATCAACTTGTTCCAAACAATTTATGTGAAGAAATTATTATTTTTTTAAGAAACGTAAACTTTAAAGGAGAAGATGTTTTTTTATTTATAACATTTCACAGATTTTTTAAAAATCTTTAACAGAAGTTTATCACATACAGTAGCTCTTTTATTTAATAACATTAAGTAATTTATGTTAAACTACTTATGTTAAAGGTGAGTTTTAATAGCTAATCGAATAAAAGAAGTAAAAGCCGTTACAAATTTTACCTAAGTGCGATTCTGGCAAGTAAAAAATAAAAAGCTGAACAATAAAATATAAGCTCAATAAAAACAAAACTTCTTTAAAAAAACTATAAATAATTCTCAAATAAAAATAAAATATATATATATACAAATAAAAAATATAAATATATAAATATACAAATAAAAAATACAAATATATATTTAGAATATGTAATATATACTTTCTATACTTACTCCTGGATCTTAATATTTCTATTATAATTTCATTATATATTTTTAAAGGACTAATTAATAGTTGAATTCCAAAAAGTTTATATATCTTCGCTTTTTTGACTGTTTGATTTTTCGTAAATAACCGCGTTTTTTTTCAGAACCCGCTTTTTGAAATTCAGAAAAGTTTTTAAACTAACTACTTTAAAAAATGAAAGTGAAACAACGCCAAACGTTAACTGCAGTATTAAAATTAAGAAGTTTCTCTGGCTGGTTACATACATGTGCTGTTTTAAATATAAAGTTAAATATTTGACCGCTAGGTGGCGCATTTCAACATGGAGTTAACTCCATGTTAACTAGTTCAATATTTGGCCGCTAGAAGGCGCAGAATGAGCGTAATTTTTGAGCGCTATCAAAAAAAGCGTTCACTCGCGCTCACGTTCATCTAAATTTGGCGTCGCTCGCGCTCACGCTTTGCTCAGAAGTTTTAAGCGCCGCTCATAAGCAAGTTCAATTTGAGCGGCGCTCATCCTAGGTCTGATATATATATATATATATATATATATATATATATATATATATATATATATATATATATATATATATATATATATATATATATATATGTATATATATATATATATATATATATATAAATTATAGAAAATCACTTAGCAAAATTTTTTCTCATTTATTTTTTAAAAAGATTAATTTTGCTAAGTGATTTTCTACTAATATATATATATATATATATATATATATATATATATATATATATATATATATATATATATATATATATATATATATATATATATATATATATATATATATAAGATTTTTCATATATTTTTAAGAATTAAAAAAGTCAAAAACAAAGAATTATTTTAAGTCACCAAATTATTTCTATATTTTAACTTTTTTTTTCAAAATATTTCATGATTAATTTGTTATAAATTAAGAACATATCAGATAAAATAATTATGAGTATATAAGAATATTCACTAACCATCAAACCTTAGACTAGATATTCTTTTTAACTAAACTATTTTAGTCATTCTTAGTTTATTTTGAGTTTATCTTAAACCTTCTTAGTTTGTCTTCACTATAATTGTATTATTATATATATAAATTTTACTAATACATCATGAAAATATTACTATTACAATATGTATGTACTTAATACTTCATTTTGAAATAAAGTATTTACCTTTGATATTTACAATTAGTATTCCCTGAAGTTTAATAAATGCTTTGACCTTATTATGGTTGTACAGTTAACTTTGGCTATAGTTGGTAATTGGTAATTAACTATAATGGTTGTACAGTCAACTCTGGTTGTAGTTGTTAGTTGATCTAGTCTGAGTAAAAAAGTAAGTAACAGGTGTTTACTAAAAATCTGGACTAACTTAATCCTACTTTTAAAAGCCACAAGCTAAATTTTTTTTCCATGCTTATATCCATTTTAAAGCTTATTTAATTTTCTATAAATTAATTTACTTTCTTTTAGATAACTGATAAAAATTAGGGAAAAAATTATGCGTAAGCAAGTAGAAATAAGAAAATGGATTTATGCGTTCTATTTGAATAATAAATTGCACGGAAAAAACTTCATAGTAGCTGAAAAGTGCTGAACAACTTCCAAGAATCACTATCTATGATATAATAAAATGTGCTGAGAATGACTCTGGACACAAAAGAATGCAAGGAAGTGGTTGTGTGAGCAAAATCATGACACCCCAAGGTGATCAAGCGTCTGAAAACTATGTTTGACTACAGTGACCTGGTTTCAATGAGGCAAAATAGTCGAAAATTTGAATGCAGTTATTCACATATTATAAAAATTCTTGCCAAGTACACTGACATCAAAACTAATATGAAACAGAGTATACCTTATTGACAAGAGAGCCAGAAAGAGCAAATCAAGACCAGCATTGAACATTTTTATTGCGATTTTTAGGAAAAATTAGTTGTCCTTAACAAAGAATCAAGGATGACCAATTATAGCATAAATGATTAAAGGAAACAGCACCTACTACTCTATTGACAAGACTCCACTCAGCGTTAAATATCGCAAACAGTGAAATTCAAATCCAAGCTGCTTGTCTGGCTGGCCACCTCTGACTAAGGTATTTTCAAGCTATTTTTCATCTGCAGCAGTATTGCAGTCAACAAAACCATCTACAAAATTTAATTTTATTAGAAAAGGTTAGTGTTATTCATCAACGCTGTTGGTAACTGTTGGTAATCATCGTGCTGATGGTAATTATGTATTTTGGCCAGACCTGCCCTCAACACATTATGCTAAAACCGTGACCAAATTTTATGAGGCACATAACATCAACTTTGTCAAAAAAGTTGACAATACCCTGACTGTACCACAGTTTTGCCCAATCAATGACTTTTGGCCTGTTTTGAAAGACAAAGTGTATGAGGGTAAATGGCAAGCAAAAGACATGAAGCAACCGCAAACCAGAATAAAGCTTTTTCTGGAAAAGATTGACCTAAATCTTGTATTTTCACTTTTTGCGTCAATTCATTTTAGAGTTGGCTAAATCCAAAAAATCAGACTGGATGAAGACAAACTTAACTAAAATAAATAACTAAAAACTTTATTTAATGATATTTTTATTTGATCTCTACTTTTAAAACTATGGGAGTTATTGCCGTTAAAAGTAAGTCCGGATTTTTTGTAACCACCTATTAATAATCTAAAAGTGCAAAAAAAAAAAAAACTTTTAAGAAATAGCAATATAAAATTAGTTCATTTTAACAAAAAGAAGAAGAAAAAAAAGTAAATATAAAAAAAAGATTAATATAAATTCACTTTTCCTGAATTATGCAACCTACAACTTTTCTACTACAACCTTTACACTCCTTACACTTAAACTCTTTTCTTTTTTTTCTCTCCAAATTTATTAGTAGCTGCTTGCAGCTTTTTTAGGAGTGAATTAAAGTTAAAAAAAAAAAAGATTGATTAAAAAAAGTGAAAAGAATTTAAATCTGACTTTTTATAATTTAAACAGTGATTTAAACCATAAATTACAAAAAGTATAAAATTTATTCAAGTATGCTATCAAAAAATCTTTTGAATATGAACACATTTAAAACTGTTTTTAAGCAATATAAACACGCAGTAATGTTAAAACTTTAAAAAAAAGATCATTAAAAACTTTTTTTCTAAAAATGTAAAAAATCTTTAAAAATTTGGAAAGTCATTATCATTTTAATAAAGTTTATCGCATTTTTTTACAATTGTTGCTAAGTGTATTAGTTTAGATAATGGTTCAGTGCTAACTAAACACAGCAAAAAATTCTACAATTTCTCCATTTCCTAAAAAAATTTCAACTACAGTGCTTAACTTGTTTCTCCACGCAGCAGCCTTGTTTGCCAAGGTTTGTGTTTCAGAGTTATAGAATTTAAAGAGGGCTGTAACCACAACTAAAGTAACCTCCTTGATTGTGATGGCCTTCTTGGCCTTGGGATGGTAAGTTAACATAAAAAATATGGGTGTCAAAGTTTGGCTTTGATAGCACGCAATTTAATTTAAACAATAAATAGCTTTAATGACACACAAAAGACTCAACCAAATAGCTTTACTATGCTGTTAGATGTCTTTAGCATAAAAAAAATTTTTTCAGAAATAAAAAAAAATTTATTTGTGTTATTTTTATTTGACATAAGTTTAAAAAATATGTAAGTCATCAGAGGTAGTTTTTAGTTTTCTGGTATGTACGTTTGTTTTAAATAATTTTTTTTTTATTACAATTGTTTTATTTAATTTTTTTTTATTGTGCAAAGAAATTGAAGCTTCAACCACACAAGCTGGTCCCTTATCTGAACAGGTTTTTGTTATTTCTTGCTTATTTTCTTAATTTTTTATTTTTTTTCCTTGTGTACTTATTATTTTAAAATTTTATTTGAATAATAATTTTTGAATTAATATAAAAAAAAACACAAAAAAACATGGGCTTTTTCTCGTTATTGTTAAAATCATCATCATCATCATCGCAGTTGTTGTCATCATCATTATTATCATCATTTGTTTAACACAGTTGTTGGGTTTTTTTCAACAACCTTTAAATATTATGCAATTATTCTTTTTTAATGGTTATATGAAGAAAAAAAATTAAAAGAGACTAGTGAAAAATTAACTTTAAATTAAATTACTTTACTAAACATATATGATCAATGTAAGATAAAAAAATAAAGACAAAAAAACGAAATTGCCACTAGCCACTGCAAGTCCTAAGTTTTTGCAGAAGAGAGCTTAAATTCAAAATTGTCTGTCAGTTCTAAACAGTCTAAAAATTGAAGATATTTTGTCAAGAATTTAGAGTATAACTGCATCATCTGTAAGTAGAGCCATTTTAAAGGTAAGGTTGCCAGAAAGATTGTTAAGGAACAACACTGGGCTAAAGATGGAACTTTTTGGTGCCCTATTAGTCACTAAAAATGAAAAGAGTGTTGACCATCACAAGGGCAATTTTTGGTGTTGACCATCACAAGGGCTTTATAAAAAATCTGAAAAATGAAATAGGGATTTTTTCATCACAGCATTTTTTGGTGTTGAAGATCAAAAAGTATGACCACAAAAAATTTCTAACCCCCTCAAATTGAGGGGTTTAAACTTTACATGTTCATAATTTTTGAACGCTAAAAGATTATTCTATGAAACTTTAAATTTATCAATGATTTATTGATAATTATTAATTTTGTAAAGAATAGAAAAAGTATATATATATATATATATATATATATATATATATATATATATATATATATATATATATATATATATATATATATATATATATATACATATATATATATATATATATATATATATATATATATATATACATATATATATATATATATATATATATATACACATATATATATATATATTTATGTATATATATATATATATATATATATATATATATATATATATATATATATATATATATATATATATATATATATATATATGTATATATATATATATACATACATATATATATATATACATATATATATACATATATATATGCATATATATATATGCATATATATATATATATATATATATATATATATATGTATATATATATATATATATATATATATATATATATATATATATATATATATATGTATATATATATATATATATATATATATATATATATATATATATATTATCAACTTAATGCTCTCACATTAAGTAAATATTTGTAAATTATTAAAATTGTTTTTATTATTTAAAAAATTTGGCATATAAATTTGCTGAACGGATACTCACGAGCATTCCCCGGTCTCCCCACGAGTAGGGGAGACCGGGGCTAGTTGCAGCAAAATTTAAACAACTGATTTTGATCTCCTAATTATTTATCTCTTTAAATTTTCTCTTATTTATATTGCAACTCTAACTATTTTATACTATTTTTATAGAGATCATAAAAGATAACACGCAACAGTTTATATGTATAAACTTTATAAAGATATCTGTTTGAAATATTGGTATATACAAACCAATATTAGTTGGTATAAGTAGCGCATTGAGGTTTAACGTTCTGAGGTGGGGGGAGGGGCATGGGAATGACTAAGGGCAAAAAAGGTTGGGGGAGCCACATTAATCCCTAGAAACATTTTTTTTTGCAAATTGCAGTTGCAATATAAATAAGAGAAATTAATTATTTATCTCCTAAAATTTCTCCTAAGCATTAATTTCCTAAAATTTTTATTTTTATTTTTTCAAATTTTTATCAGGGTTATAAAGTAGATTTTAGTGACGTACTAAACCAACATTCATAAATATAATATAAAACTTAGTTGTTCTGCAATAGTGAAACAAAAATGGAAAAAAAATGTTGCAACTTACCCCGCACCATGGCAAATTGCAACAGTGAACAGGTTAAGTTGCAACACAGTACTTTGAAAGTATAAGCTTTGCAGAGTTCATAGAAATGTTACAAGTTATTTTCTAATTTCTATTTGGCTACAAAAATTTTATAATTGCAGTAAAGGAAAATAGTATTTTCATTGAGCTGCAATACTTTTATTATGAGAGACTTCACTTACACCTAACTTGTTTAGTAAACTGATAATTGTATTCAAAGATTTCAGAGACTAAAAATTACATTAGATAAAAAAGATTATTATTTAAACTTCTGAAAAAAAAGCATTCTCTTAGTCAATAAACAATAAGTTCGTTTAGAAAAATGCAACAGAAAGTATTAGGATTTTTAAGTTCTGTTATTAAATATTAAAACACAATAACAGTTTATTTTTAAAAAATTTAAGCGTTAAAAAATAAAACAAATGTTAAATAAAATTTCATATAAACAAACAAAAACCAAACTTAGATCTAAGTTATCAACAAAAAAATAATTTCCTTACAATAAGCATTCATTAAAGAACAAACTCTTAAAGAAAAAACTCTTAAAAGTATTAAAGAAACAAATTAATTACATTTTAAATTAAACAGTTAAGTATTATAGAAATATTAGGAGATAAAAAAATCAACTTTAAAAAAACATTGATTACTTTAAGTAATCAACGTAACTAGAAAAGTGCGTAAAATCAATAACACCAGCATTTATTTTATGATTCAACTTAGCCCAAGTAATTTGTTGCAACTTACCCCGTAGGCGTCATGATCACTCTAGTCAATGTATATAATTATTTACTTTAAATAAATCAAATTTTAAATCTTTTTGCATTTGATAAAGTTTTTTTAAACTTACCATTATTTTATTATAGTAATAAATCTCTAAGTACCGTGAAACCCAAAAAACTTTGAAAAAAAAAATTAGAATTTTACATTGAAAAAACAAAATTATCAATAACTTTTGAAGTTTTCAATTTATTTATAGACGTTTTTAGACGTGTTATAATTTATTTATAGTTGATGTGTTATAATTATAGTTATATAATGCAAAAAAATTTAGGAATAATATATAAAAACCGTTCCTTAAAACGCATTGTTGCAACTTACCCCCAATGCAATTACCCCCGGTCTCTCCTACATTAGAATAAAGGAGAATTATTTTTTGAACAAATTTTTACAGTTGTCACAACAAAATTAAAAATTGATAGAAGAATATTTAAAAATATGCAATGACATAAATAAGACAGACAATACACCCAAACAATACTTACAATATTTTTTTTTTTTTTTTATAAACACTTAAAATGAACAAAGATAAAATAAATGTATCACCTACAAAACCTAAGAATGGAAAAAAACAAACATTAATGCTAATTTGTGTAATGCTAAAGTAATAAAATTATCCTAAAGTATTTAACTGAATTTTATTTTTCTGCTGAAATATATCATCTTTGCTGAAATATATCATCTTTGCTAAAACATATCATCTTTACTAAAACATATCATCTTTGCTGAAACAATCTTTAGTTACAAATATACTCTAGAGATTGCTAAATTGCAATCAGATGATAAATGCTAAATTTTCATGGTCAAATTTTCTTTTTATAACTTTTTCAGTTCTTTTTGAACTATATTGTTTTAAAAATGTCAAAAAATAAGTTATTTGGAGAAATTCAAAATTAGTTAGTGATCAGGGTTGAAATTTGACCAGGCCAAGGCTAGGGTCAAGTTTGTGACTGGGGCTGCATAAACATAAATACACCCTATAGTATATTTTTTTTAATTCAAAACTATTGTTATACTTTATATATATATATGCATGCTTGTTTATATATAAAAATCATCATGATTCTAATGATCATCATCATCATTATCATCATCAAGCTTTAGTCTTTCTCTTTTATGATGTCTCTCGAATATATTAAATTTCTCGAGCATTTTTTTCCTTTACTTTCCTTTTAATATAAGATCCAATCAATTAACCTTTGCAATTTTGAATTTTTAAAGTTTCAAGATTTGAGATACATGTTATTAAGCATTTCTAAAATGGGTAAAGCTATAATGACTGTTTGCTTGATCCTTTATTAAGGCTACATTTCTGATTATTTTTGGAAAAATAATACTTTTTGAAATAAAAATATAATTTGTCCAGTAAAAGGTTAATTGATGCTTGTTCATACATAATGTTTATATGTTTATGTGTAATGTTTTCTCTCCAAGTTTTGTCCTGCTGCTGTTTTGTGTAAGGCCTCCTAGGTAAAAACAGAGGGAAGCAGAATAATTATGTTGACCAGCCTCAATCCCCTTCTTCATCTATTAGACTAGCTAGATGTAAATTTGTGTTACATTGTTTTCTGCCTAAGATGATAAATGCTGGATTTTCTTGACTCCACTCATAGATTTTTATTTGTACCTCCTTAATAGTGGCTACCCTTCATGTTGTCTCATGATGAGGGTACAGCTCTGAAACTCAGTTTAATAATTCTGAGGCCAGCAAGGTTTCTCAAACTTTGTGGTAACTCTCAGAGAGAGATTCCATCAGCTGTAAAATATCAGAGTATAAACATTACCATATTTGCACAAGGGTGTCAATGCTTTTAGTCTGCATTGTTAAGGCTACATAAGGAGCTCTAAGTTATGACTTTAGTTATATAGCAGGACTGAGACAACTACATAGCTTATTGCTTAGATTGCCATGTTTGATTGAGTCAAGACTCTAATTATCACATGCTTGGCTTGGGGGTATATTAATGCATGAATTCACTAGTTGGTTGAGAAAACAGATTTGAATCCACTAACCATTCTTTTATGTGCTTCCGCTTAGTACCTCTTTACTCTATCACCTTTTAATTTTTTTTGTGCTTCTTAAGACTGCACTTTTTTAGTTTTAATTTCTGATCAATTTGATCTTTTTTTGTGCTTTCTTTTTACTCTTCTTCTGTTGTTGTT